TATACATTGAAGATGTGTAATCATAAGAAGTGGTTCCTTCTGGCTATGGGTTTTTTGGTAACTAACTGGCGATGGTTTTTTTGTGCATGGCAATGCAAGGTCCCATACAGCTAAGGATGCTTCAATTCAATGTTTGGAGAGGCCAGCATCTAGTACCGACTTAAACCCTACCAAACACCTTTGAGACGAGTTGTCAAAGGGGGTAAAAATCGCCAAATGATGCCGGAGAATTTGCAGGAATTAAGAAATGCGCTGTTGGAGGAATATGACAATAATCCATACTGCTACATTCAGCACCTCATAAAATCGATGTCATCGAATGCAAGCGGTGATCTACGCAAGGAGAAAATACTCGGTGCTGAATTGAATATTTTCTTCATTAAATCCATTATATTTAGTGGTCTATTGACCAAATTACTTCTTTCAATTAATTAATCTTTTTATGTAAGGTTTTGGCTGAATTGAAAGCAAAAATGGCAAAAAGGAGGGAAAATTCAAAAGGTTGTAGGTTGTAATGGGGAGTTGGTGCCCGAGTGGATGAAGTCACGATAGCTCAAGTGGTAGAGCAGCGGCGTATTTAGCCGAAGGTCGGGGGTTCGAATCCCGCTCTTGACATTAACTTTTTCATTTCAGTCAAAACCTTACATAAAAAGGTTAATTTTCTTCATTATTTCCATAGCAACATTTTTTGGAAAAATGGTTTCTTTCAGTTTAACTATTTAGCTACATCTTATATTTTCCTTTATCCAGTAAACAAACAAAAACTAAAAATTTAACTATTGAAAGCATTTACTTATATTTAACCTATAGACTATAGCCACATTTTTGCCTTTAATCTAGTTTGAAATAAACAACAAAATACTAGTGATAAATAATTGGTTATTTTGTCTTTGAGTATATTACTGATTCACAGAGTTCTGTTAAATAAGAAGTTTATAAAGCGAAATAAGCAATTTTATAAATAAATGAACAGTGTCCGTACCGAAAATATCGGCTTTTTCGTCAGTCATAGTTAGAACAATCCAAGTCCGGGTGCCATGTCTTTGAGTTGATTTAAGTTCTTAATACCAATAGGCAAGATCACCACAAGTTCGAGGAGTGAATGTGTGTTTTAGGATTTCGTCTTGAGCCGTACAGGAAGAAGAAACATTCTTTACAAAATGGCCGCCCAGTGCACCTAGAAGTTTTAAAAAATTCTATGATAATATAATATCAGTACAATTCAGTGTTATTTTACACCTTTAAATTTCTCTGAAGATTATTAAACGACAAAATACGTAAAACTAAGAGGAGGTACTGCAACGAAAACTGATCATTGATCAACAATGATGTAACACATCATTTGAACTCAGAAATAAAGAGCAGTTCAAACATTGTTTTTCGGGCTAAAAATACAATTGTTTATTAATAAAAAATTAACTTTGTCTGAAACCTTTATTTTTGTTACGGAGACTTCAAAAGTGAGTGGTATTTACGTTTTTATTTGATCAATGAAGCAACATCAACAAAAAAATGAATTAGTGAACGCTTTTTTTAACATAACTATGAAGTTAATGATTAAAAATTGATTTAAACTTAAAATATATTGTGTGGTGATTAGTGACCGTTAATCGATATTTATTTAGAAATCGTGAGATGCGGTCTGGTGTGATGTAGGTTTCAGAAAAACATTTTCTTTATCGTGCCAACGTTTCGATCTTTATTGAGATCATCTTCAGGGCCTGGGATATACAAACATTGTTTACATATTACAATTACATTTTGAATGTGGAAAAGCGAATTTATACAATGCAAAATATATTTTATATATTCAATCAAAGTATTTCTACTCACTCAAAGTGTTTGTCTTCTGTGTATGAAATGACACAATTACACAGAAGACAAATACTTTGAGTGAGTAGAAATACTTTGATTGAATATATAAAATATATTTTGCATTGTATAAATTCACTTTTCCACATCCAAAATGTAATTGTAATATGTAAACAATGTTTGTATATCCCAAGCTCTGAAGATGATCTCAATAAAGATCGAAACGTTGGCACGATAAAGAAAATGTTTTTCTGAAACCTACATCACACCAGACCGCATCTCACGATTTCTAAATAAAAGTTAAAATATATTTTTTAAACTGAAAAAATTCCCACCAGTAACATCATTTTCAAATTATTTGCTAACGGTCAAATGGATTTGTTAGAAACGGAAATTAAATCATAGGGAAGAGGAATAGTTAAAAATGGAATAGAACGAAAGATTTATTCATTATTCTGCAGAACAAACTATGAGTCTTTCTGCATGACTTTTTGGGTGTGTGTACACATTCAGATTGGCTTGCCGCTTGTTTGAAACTTTTTCCAAATATCCCGTCGAAGATTAAACGAATATTGAAGCGTGGCTCATTTAGGAAAATCCCAGCTCGCGTCAAATTTCACCGGATTTCACCGCAGTATGTTATCTTCAGGACTTAATTAAGCCGGCGGCATCATGAGCTTTCCGTTAGATAATCAAGCAAGGATCAACGAAGTTGTTCGCCAATCATTAGACTTTCAGATGGATTTACGTCGGCGGTGCTTTTAACTAGAATTTAATTACAAAAAAATATACCCGGATTATTGACCAGCACTCAGCGTATCCGAAGATTTGTTTACGATGCAAAGTCACGTTTGCAAGATACTTGAAAGATACAGGAAAACGTTTTTCCTTTCTTCGAGTGACGTCCATCTATTCTCTAAGGGGGTTAACAGAGTTCCTACCCTTGCAAAGGGCCAATTTTTCATCTCCGTTATTTGTTGGTCTTTTTAATGGGTCATTTACATAACGATTTCAATTCCACTGAGACATGCGGTTATTTACGAAAAAATGAGTTAATAAACTAAGTGTAACGTTCCAATTTACATGGTGTCGTTACGTTTCTAAATCACGGAAATCATCACACTTTGATCTCCTGAATTATTTTTCAACGAGAAATTTTAATTGTTTTTAATCTTAAGGATAACAAAATATAATGAACTAAAAAAAAAGTGATGGAATAAATAAGAAAATTATCTAACAGACATCTAAGCATTACGTAATGTGCCCAATTCTTATGTTGAATAAAAACAATCATTATGTCATTGGAAGAAATGATGAGGTCAAAACTGAAAATCAAGTTGTACTGTTAAAAATGCAGATTCTTTTGGTTCAACGATAGGTGAAATGTGTGGTTCTGCAATAATAGGCTCAGTTCCCTTCCGGGGTGATGATGTGATGATGATGATACTAGGAAGTGACTTTTTGTTCCCCTTCTGGCTTATTGCACTTTCCTAATTCCTTATTTCAGTACAATACAGTACTCGATCCTTCTCCTAAGTATTGCTAGGTAATTAACAGTTGTTGCTAAAATTCCATTCCCTTGGTTTTCTTTATACCTCAAGTTATGTCTCCTTTGAGCAGTTGCTTCGCTTTCGAAGATGACATAGGTAGTTGTTTCTTCCTTTGTTTCCTGACACCCATAATGTTATCAGGTTGTTCTCTTTCTCTAGATTTTGTAGATTGTGAATGCATACACTGACCAATTTTGATGTGATTTTTTTACATACTCATACTTTAATAGCTTCGATCTTACGAGGATTTCTTGACAGTGCCACTTTTAAGATTTTCTAAGGGGCATTGATGACATGTATTTTAGCTTGAATGTGCTTGTCAGGAGTGCAACCAGAGTACTGGTTCTGTTGTGATTATCTTCCAGTAATTCTTTTATAAGTCTTGCAGATGACCCTTTTATAAAGCTCTTCACATGCCTCATGCCAGGACTGTTGCTCTACCAAATTTTGGACTCCTACACATTTTTTGATTTTGGATCTATCCTGTTTGTGGCAAGGTGCTAGGCCACAGAAGTGCTCAGGACCTAGAGAATTCATATTGGCTCTTTTTTTAGCCAATATGTACACTTTTTCATTGCCCCTTTATCCCGAACGCCCTGGGTCAGGTCATTGGTGTCATTGATGATGATGAATATGTATACTAGGAAATTATTATCCTCCTCTTAAGAATGACTGCATCAATGACTGCCTCTACAATTATTTTCCTTGGGTGTGGTGGTTGCTTCGTTTTCGTCAATGATATGGGTGGTTGTTTCTTCCCCCTCATTGCATAACGTACAAATGGGGTCATCATTGAGACATGTTAGTTGTTTTTTCATATGCCAGTGACACTCATCTGAGTTTAGCCTTCTCTAACTGTAGCAGTGAGTTTGTCTGCCTAGGTGAGGGTTGTTTTAACATAAGCTTACCGTGTGTAGCACCTCTAGAGTTTATCTACTTCGCCTTTTGTAATTTTTAGACCCATCCTGTGTTTGTTTTTGTTATCCCAAGAATAAGTTAAGGGCTTGCAGATCCTCCTCTGGCCAGCTTGTCTGCCTTTTGTTACCCAAATTGCTAGACCAAGATGTCATCAGGTTGTTCTGTTTCCCCAGATTTTGAATGCATTCACTGACTAATTTTGATGTGATTTTTTTACATAATAGTGCTTTAATAGCTTAGCTATCTGATCTTATTTTTGACTCCTTTTTTTTTGGCCAATGTGCCCACATTCTCATTATCTCCCAAATGCCCAGGGTCAGGTCATTGGTGTCATTGAGGGTTTATGTTCCCCCAAGAACTGTAGCCTTCTAGCTTATTGTACTTTCCTAATTCCTTAGCACAATACAATCAGCACGATCCTTCTCTTACGAATTATTAGGTCAATTATTGTTGCTACAATTATGTTCCCTGGGTTTTCTTTGTATAGCAGTTGCTTCATATCCGAAGATGACATGGGTGGCTGTTTCTTCCTAATTATTACATAACCTACAAATAGGGTCCTTATTAAATACACCCATGTTAAGTAGATGTTTTCTCAGAAGCCAGCAACCAGTATATAGGAGAGTAGTTTTCCAGTCTTGGTGAGGATTGCTATAACATAAGCTTACTGTGTCTAGCATTAGCCCTTGCATTTCTATGTTTTGTTTCCTTGGTAAATGTAATTACTGTACCTTTTGAGGGATTTGCTTTAAGTTCTTGTTTGGGGGGAGTAACTCGATTTGGTGTGAGAATATGTGAAAAGTCAGCACTTTTAATATCGCCAGCTTCACCTATTTTAGAGAGAAGTAATCCAAACTTGTTGCTTTTTTCAGTGTGAAATAGAATTGCTGAAAATAATTGGCACACCAGATGCTGCATATGAGATGTGCAAAAAGGACGCTAAGGACTGCCAAGCCGAGCAAGGTGGCGAAAGGCCGGTTGTAACTTTTGAAGAAAGGCCGGTTGTTACTTTTGAAGAAGGTACAGAAGATAGTATTGAGGAGGAAAGTACGGAACATCCATTTTACCCTACCGACGTTACGACAGCTTTGCCCACTTATGAGTACAATGAGACGTATTACAACACGACAACACAGGTAAACATAAATGTAAGCAGTTAATTATAGGCATTTATTAGGAAGGATCGAGGGAATGAGCAGAATTAGAAATTCATCACATGGTCTTTAACTATGTAGAACAACAGGTCACCCTCAGATAAAGAAGTTTCACAATTTAATATCATCCTAAATTTATGGTTTATTTATTTTTCAGGGGTATGATGAAGGAGGAGAAGGAATTGTTGTTTTTGGTCCAAGAGGATACGCTGGCCCACCAGGTCCTCCGGGACCTCCAGGACCAAAGGGTGATCCAGGAAGAGAGGGTCTCCCTGGATCTCATGGTGTCCCTGGACCACCAGGCCATGTCTTCCTCATTCCAGTAAAATTCCAAAGTATATTTCTTAAGTGACTCCAAGTATTACTTCTTAAATTCTTATTTTTAGTTAAATTTCCAAAGTAATGATAAGGGTCCAGACTCACAAGCTGACCAGTTTAAACAACTCCTAGCCCAGCACATGGTATTTTGTGTTATTTCTTTGTTTAGTTCCATGAGTTTGACAGTGTTTATTGTTTTCAGATGTCCATGAGAGGGAGTGAAGGGCCTCGAGGACTGACTGGTGTCGCTGGACCTGACGGGCCCCCTGGTCCAGAAGGACCAAAAGGCGAGACAGGAGAAATAGGGGAAATTGTCAGTTTCACAAGAAATCCAGCATCATCCAATAATTATTAACATTCTTTTGTTTTAGGGACCAAGAGGTTTCCGGGGCCTGCCAGGCCTTCCAGGCAGGGAAGGGAGGAGAGGAAGGCCTGGTAGAGACGGGGAAAGAGGAAGTACAGGTCTACCTGGTAATAAGGGTGAAATCGGCCCTATGGGACAGCAAGGTGAACATTTACAAAAGACCAAATTTCAACAGTGGTCATTTTAAAAATCAATTATAATTGTAGGGATGCCGGGAGAAAAAGGGGAAAGGGGATTACCTGGTATTCCAGGTACTCCTGGCCTTCCAGGACATGATGGAATGCAAGGTGAAGAAGGTGCTCAAGGTCTTCCTGGCCATCCTGGAGAACTCGTAAGAACTTTGGGTTAAATGATACGGACCATATGATAACAATACTTGCTTTAGGGACCAAGAGGCTTTCCAGGACCGAGAGGCTTTCCCGGCATGCCAGGACCTCCCGGAATACCGGGATCTGAAGGTGGCCCTGGTGTGAAAGGGCTTGCAGGTCCATCTGGACAGCCTGGTGCACCAGGACAAACTGGTGCAATGGGAGCTGTTGGGCCTCCTGGACCTCAGGGACCCCTTGGCCCTCCCGGTCTTCAGGTTTCTTCATGTTAAATAAATTGCAATTTTTTGGATTATACATTTTAAAAATCTGTTTTTAGGGTCCCATTGGAAAACCTGGTTTTCCAGGTCTTCCCGGAGCTGATGGTTTACCCGGGAGGCCTGGTAACCCCGGGCCACCCGGATCTAAAGGTGAAACAGGGGTTGCCGGTATACAAGGTCCTATTGGATTTCCCGGGCCCAGAGGATTAAAAGGGGATGAAGGAAAACGTGGACTTCGTGGTGAAAAAGGAGATAAGGGTGAAAGAGGTCATGAAGGTGAAAAAGGGGATATTGGAACGAAAGGGGATGCTGGACCACTTGGGCCACAAGGATCTTCAGGCCAGGAAGGTTCAGAAGGACCAAAGGTATTCTATATCGAGGTGTACTACTGAAAATGAAAGCTAAACTAAACACAATTGTAGGGTATGGAAGGTCCGAGAGGAGAAGTAGGTCCACAAGGATTGAAAGGGGAGAGAGGAAAACCGGGGTCTCCTGGTTTTCAAGGGTACCCTGGTTCCCCAGGAGACAAGGGTGACAAAGGTTCTGAAGGGAAACAAGGTTCAACTGGAGAAAAAGGAGAACAAGTAAAATGATATATTATTTCATTTAATTCTGTATAATAAAAGCTTTTTTTAGGGCATTCCTGGGCAATCTGGCGAAAGAGGAGAACCCGGTCCTAGAGTGAGTTCATTTTCAAATAATAATTTTATTTATAATACTCAATGTACCTGTTTTTAGGGATACAGAGGATTGAGGGGGAAACAAGGAATGGAAGGCTTAGTCGGACCTAAGGTAAGTCTCATCCGTGCTCAGTACATCTAACATTTATAAAATGTGGATGATTGTAGGGAGACACAGGACAACCAGGTCCTGCTGGCCCACAAGGTGAAAGAGGACCACAAGGTATGGAGGGTCCCAGAGGATTCATCGGACCTCAGGGCCCTACAGGAACTAATGGTAAGGATGGCCATCCTGGTCAGCCAGGAGAACGTGGACCACCTGTAAGTTGCAATACAAACACGTCACACAATATACGTATAACAACATTTGAAACTTTTCAGGGAGAACCGGGTGCACCTGGCCCCCCTGGAGTTGTTGGTGTGATCGGACCACCTGGAAATGCAGGAGAACCAGGACCAATTGGAGAGCCAGGAGTTGCCGGGCCAGTTGGAGCACCTGGTGAAGTTGGACCTCCTGGAGAAAATGGAAAAGATGGCCCTCCTGGTCCCCCTGGGCCTCAAGGTAAACAAGGACCAACAGGATCTTCTGGTTTGCAAGGCTTCCCTGGAGAAAGAGGACTCCCAGGACTGATGGTAATTATTTAAACAAAAAAAAATTCTAAATATAAAGTAATCTGTCTTTGTTCAGGGTCTGCCAGGATTAAAAGGTGAGCCAGGCCCTCCAGGCCCTTCTGGTCCTACTGGTGATAAGGGACAAATAGGGGAACCTGGAAAAGAAGGACCACTAGGACCTGAGGGAAGGAAGGGACAAACAGGTCCTCCCGGAGTTGCTGGATCAAAAGGAGATAGGGTAAGAATAACACTGTACACCTCTCTCATTACAAAAATGTCCAATTTTTAGTATTTTTAAATATCAAAGGTGTATAGGGACCGATCGGCCAACCCGGACCAGTAGGAAGAGATGGCCTTCCCGGTCCTAGAGGACTGCCTGGACAACCTGGCCCACAAGGTCTGCCTGGAGAGGATGGTGACAAGGGAGAATCTGGTCCTCCGGGGGAAAAGGGCTTTAAAGGAACAAAAGGAGAGATAGTAAGTATTGATAACTATCCATTGATACAACAGAAATTAACATTTTAAACCTAGGGATTACCTGGCCCGACTGGAACTCAAGGATTAAGAGGAGAACCAGGTCCAATAGGGGCCCCAGGAGAAAAAGGACCTCCAGGTGAAATTGGACGACAAGGCGCCAAAGGAGAAGATGGACCCCATGGCCCACCAGGACCACCGGGCCTTGCTGGATCCCCTGGGCTGCCGGGTCCACCTGGAATCAAAGGAGAAGTGGGAGATGTTGGCCCAAGAGGTAACATTTTCCCAATTATTTTGAAAATTGAAATATTAATAGTTTATATTTAAGGCTTTCTACAAAGGATTCCTTTTATTAAGTTATAGAGTAATGTTTGTTGTTCTAAAATACAACAATCTTGGAGAAACAAAAGTATAAAAATATTTGTTGCTTAAGGAATTATTAAATGTTTGTATAAACTAACACATTGGAGAATGTAATCTTAATCTATTTGAATTTTCAGGTGCAACTGGGCCAGCAGGAAGCCCAGGAGAGATAGGTCCAAGGGGCCCAAAGGGTACTGAAGGGCCAATGGGTTCTCCAGGCCTAGAAGGACAACAAGGCCCAGTTGGAGAGCCCGGAAACCCAGGGCCACCCGGTCCTCCAGGTCTCGATGGTAAACCGGTAATCTCTACAACCTAACATAATATACTGCTATTAAAATTTATAATTTATTAAAAATTCAATTGTTTTAAGGGTGAAAGAGGTCTTCAAGGCCCAAAAGGAGATGAAGGAAAAATGGGACCTCAGGGTTCAGTGGGGCCAAGGGGTGTACCAGGACCTGAAGGCCCAAAAGGCAATGTCGGTCCACCAGGGTTTCCTGGGCCCCAAGGAGAACAAGGTTTGCAAGGGGAGAAAGGCGATGTTGGTCCTCCAGGGCCAGAAGGTAAAACAGGAGAGCCAGGACCTCCTGGGGAAGCCGGTGAACCGGGAAAACTTGGTCCAATGGGCCCAGCAGGGAAATTAGGAGCTGACGGACCACCTGGCCTTCAAGGAAGTATGGGTCTCCCAGGAGACAAAGGAGATCAGGGTCCACCTGGTCCAATTGGTTTGCAGGGTCTTATAGGTCCTTCAGGCGAAAGAGGCTTACCTGGAGTACCGGGTCCTACGGGTAGCACTGGTCCTGCCGTATGTTCATTTTGATTTTATTAATATATTGTTTAAAAATACAAATTACATATTATAATTTTTAGGGGGAAGTCGGATTACCAGGAAGACCAGGATTGGATGGTCCTCAGGGAGCTATTGGAGAAGCAGGAGTAAAGGGTGCAAAAGGAGAAAGAGGTAGAAGAGGACCTAAAGGACACAGAGGTATCACAGGTGCTCAAGGATTAGTCGGCCCAATGGGCGAACAAGGGCCAAAAGGGGATCCAGGACCAAGAGGAAAGGAAGGTCCAAAAGGAGATCCAGTATGTTTTTAATTAAATAATAAATCTAAGCAGTTTTTACAATGATTCTTTTTTAGGGTCTACAAGGTATTGAAGGGATGAAAGGAATCGAGGGCCCTCCAGGTCTTCCTGGTCAAGAAGGTCCACAAGGATTAAAAGGATCTCAAGGTGTAGCTGGCCAAAAGGGAGAAACAGGACCACCCGGTCCTCCTGGGCCACCAGGTCCTCCACTCGATATGCCCATTTTGCCACCAGAACTGTTTCAAAATGATGGATTCAGATTTCGCCGAGATGCCTCATCTGCCACAACGGAGGATGGCCAATTTTTGAAAAATGAAATAGAATCTCCTAACTTCTTTGACGTCTACTCTAATATTTATTCAATGAGAAGGGATTTGGATAGGGCAAGAAAACCACCTGGTACCAAAGAAAATCCGTCTAGGTCTTGCAAAGATTTGTTCTTTGGATATCCACATTTCAAGAACGGTACTGAATTAACACTTCTTGCAACCAAAAAATTGACAAAATGTTTGTTTAGATTGGTACTGGATCGACCCGAACCTTGGAATGCCAGATGATGCTATATATGTCTTCTGCAATATGACAAACAGCGGTGAAACTTGCATCTATCCTGACATACATTCTAGTCAGATGCCGAATATCCCCTGGCGCAAAGACGGAGAAAAGTTAGACTGGTATTCAAATCTCAGAGGTGGTTTTAAGGTATTCTACATCATACGAAGTTTTTAAAACGTAGTTTGGCCATTTCCAAACATCCTGGTCTATTCTCACTGTCATTAGTAACAACCAAACTACAGGATCATGTTACAGACTTCAAGTAAAAAACCCAGAACTTTTTGTAATGTTTGTTCCTTTTAGATAACATATGAAACTATAGGAACTGTTCAAATGACCTTTTTGAGGTTGTTGAGTGAAAAGGGTTTCCAGAATTTCACATACACATGCATAAATTCAGTCGCCTGGTACAGCTCCAAGGATTTGAACTACAATTTGTCAATCAAACTGAAAGGAGAAGATGACACCATCTACTCAAATTCTGGAATCATGCCGAATATTTTGCTTGATGGTTGTAAGGTAATTGAAAGAAGAAATCAATTGTTATTTTGTTTTAATTTTTTTTTCTTTTGTAATTTTAGAATGGCAAATCAAAAAGTGAAACCATTTTTGAGATACTGACAGACAATCTTGAAACTCTGCCTGTGGTAGACTTCTTCCCAGTAGACTATGGCCTACCGCACCAAGCTTTCGGTTTTGAAGTCGGCCCAGTCTGTTTTAAATAATTTTTGAAAGTTGTAAATTATTTCCTGTAAATACAGTTTTTAAGAAGTTTGTCTACTTCATACTAGTCATGATTTTTTTCTATGTTTAGCCTGCCAAACATAGATCAAGATTTGGAATAACGCCAAATTCAATTAAAAACTGCTAAAAGTTTGTCATGTTTGAAATCCAAGCGAGATAAGCGGGCATTGAACAAGGGGGAGTTCTCGATATCCGATCGGGCTGAAGTCCTAAGAGGTTAGTCTTCAGAATATTGTCGGCCATATCTGCCAGCTTATCTTTAAGGGCGTCTAACTCGCCCTCCATTTTCTCCCAAGTTCCAAATTCAGCATCCAATGTCGAACAAATATGGGTAAGAATGCAAATGTTTTCAAGAAAGAAAAGAAAGTTTTTTCGTCTCCTCTCAACAAACGACAGTAAATCCGGCCCGGAGGACCACTTTATGTTGGAGAGGGGGGGTGTTTGTCTTTCTCGCACAGCTACCCCTCCGTTTCAACAATACCAGTCACTGTTCCTGGAGAAAAGGGGGAAAAGAAAATGGTAAAGAAAATAGAAATGATGCAAATTTAAATATTAAGAAAACTACAAATTTATTGAAGAAAGGATCTTAGGAAGAAACAGAGAAAAGGGAAACTGAATGGAGAAACTCTCCCTGTACAATACATAAAAAAATCAATTTATTATATAGCATACAAACAAAATATAAGTACCTGCAGGTTAAAGTTAAATTAAAAACAATGATTACTGTTATAAAATAAATCATAATATGTCCTTTGAAATCAGACCGATTTAAATGATTCCACCTGGGTAAACAAAATTTTAATGATATAAGCGAAATGTTTTTGGCCAGATTTTCACGATGCAGCCTATAACGATGAACAAAGGCTGGTGATTATATTCAATCTCCAGAAGGGTCTGCAAGCCGTTTTTGGTTGAAAATCTGCAACCAAGAAAAATGTTTTTTCTTCTCCTCCTTCTCAACAAACGACAGTAAATCCAGCCCGGAGGACCACTTTATGTTGGAGAGGAGGGTGCTCGTCTTTCTCACACAGCCACCTCTCCGTTTCATTGATGTCAACGATGATGATAATTGATGGATCGTATCGGTGTGAGGGATGAAAAAATCCCCGATCGACAAAAATTCTATATATACGATCGTCTTCGAGCGTGAAAGATCTGGATTGAGCCGGCGGCGGCCCTTTGACCCTCAAGGCCGGTACCCAAGGTTAAAAAATAATAAATAAATAGACTCTGTTGTTTATTTCAAAAAATATTAAAACTAAATTACAGATTCTTTCTTCTTTTACTTTGAAGATTTTCTTAATTATAACGAAAAGAAAGAAAAGGAGAAAAAAGGTTTAAAATTAATAGGGAAGGAAACAAAAAATGAAATAAGCACACCTACGACAATAACACGAAACTTACAAACAAGACATTTATTACATAACATTTATCAATAAAAACACTCAAAGTACTTATTCTAAACATGAACAAATAATGTTACAGGGCAGTGATCACTTCCATAGACTTTGTTTCTTATAACATTGTCACATACAGAAGGTAAAAATCTTTTGGAAACAATAAAATAGTCCAGTCTCCTGAAATTAAAAATAAATAAATAAACATATAAAAAATAATATTTTAAAAAGAAAAATGAATTTATAAATATTACCATCCAGTATTTTTAGCACGAGCATTTGACAGATAAGTCCAGAAGGTGTAAGCGCCTTTTTCCTCGGGGTAGAAATGCCGGAAAGTGTCGACGTAACCATCTTTTAAAAACTCTGTCATGCCTTCCCTTTCTTCCGGTGTGAAACCAGCGTTCTTTGTATTTCTTGCCGGGTTTGCAAGATCAATCTCTGCGTGAGCGACATTCATATCGCCACAGACAATAACTGGTTTCTGTGTGTCCAGCTCTTTAACATAATCCTTGAAATCGCTATTCCACTTGAGCCTTTTTGGAAGTGTTTTCAGGCCATTGCCAGCGTTCGGTACATCTGAAATTAATGTTTTTAAATTTCAGCAAAACGTGATGATTGAAACAAATTTTCTGCGTTTTATAAAAGAAAAACTACTCACAAGTAGTTATCAAATAAAATTTTTCATATTCAGCAGTTATCAATCGGCCTTCATTGTCGTGATCTTTTTTCCCAAGGCCGTATGTCACTTTTACAGGTTTTTTCTTGCTAAGAAGACCAACTCCAGCATACCCTTCTTTTTCACCTAAATCACAGAATTAAATTAAAGATCAAACCATTTCATTTTTTTTTTTTTTCCATGCTGTACTCACCCATGACCCAATATGTGTAATATCCCAAGGTTTTAATCTCTGGAGGGAGCTTACTTTCTGAACACTTGGTCTCTTGTAGGCAGACAATATCTGCATCTTCTTTTTTAATGTAATCAATGCCATTTTTCTAATACAAACATTTATTTTTTTACCGTGTAAATTAAAAATATATAATTATTGAAGTTGAGTATTTACTTTCACCCAAGCTCTGATTCCAGCTACGTTCCATGTGGATATCTTTAAGTTCCATTTGTTCCCGTCTGGTGTTGTCTTTTCACAGTGAAAATCCAGCTCTTTCAGTAATGGTTTTTCATCTTTCACAGGTTCGACCTTTGCCTTTTTCGATGAAGGCTCTTCGGCCTTGTTTGCCCCTCTTTTCTTTCCTTTGCCCCCTTTGTCTTCCGGCTTGGGAGAATCTTCCTTTTCACTGGAGCTAATGTCATGCTCATTTTCCTTTTGAGGTTGATCGTTTTTGGGTTTTGCTGCAGCCTGGAATTACAAAATTAAATGTAAATTATATTAATTAATTGCTCATAGTATCGAAAGAAAAATTTTCCAATAATTTCTTCAAATAAAATCAATGCAGCTAATTAAAACTCGATTCCGACTAATATAAATTTCCGTACACTTTTTTCAACATAAATCATCTCCACATTTTCTTGTAATGTACGATATGTTTTTACGATTTGCACAGTAAGTAGAAGAACGTAAAAACTAAACTTTAATGCGATGGTTTCTTAATATAAGTTTAATTAAATATTAAAACATTACAATTTTTTTTATTATTCAAAAGCCTTAGAGGTCAACCAATCAATTTTTTAGTTGTGTTTTTTTGGCACTCTCAACACGACACGCAAGGATGGCACAATTACACAGAAGACAAACACTTTGAGCCCTGAAGATGATCTCAATAAAAGATCGAAACGTTGGCACGATAAAGAAAATGCTTTTCTGAAATTTACATCACACCCGACCGCATCTCACGATATCTGAATAACGTTTTAGTTTTTGATGGACACGGATCGTTTGAGATCTAGTAAAGTTTACTTTTACTTTTTTTTTAATATTTTGTTTACCTATTTATTCTCTATTGTCTTTTTATTGTCTTATAAACTTTGTACAATTTTATATAAAAAAATTTATAATTTTATTTAAAACTTCGTCTCATCGCACTTTAGATGTGAAAGAAGCGAGTAAAATTCTCCTTGAACACATCTTTTTTTCCATGAGTCATGAACCCAAATTCTTCACCTTCTACGATGATTTCTTAAACAATTAACATCTTCTTCCTCTAAAGCAAGCTCTATCATCCCTAATTCACTATTTTTAAAACTTCTTAGCATTTTTTCTCAACGAAACAATTTATGCTTCGAACGGTGTAGCTTTGAAGCTACTGTACTACTGAATGTGTTGTCCAACATGGTACAGACATGTGGGGTCTTCCATCACAGTCACCGCTAGTGGGCCGACTGCGATGCGGTGCGGGCCAGGGTCATCATATGAGGTCCTGTCTTAACAGTTAGGCTGGTGCCATACTAGACGGAATGCGACTGATGTTTTTGTGATGGAAATTTCGTGATGAAAAATCCACTCAGCCCGAACAAGCCACATATACAGTGGAAATGAACAGAATGACTTCAATGACTGTTTGTATATACAGTTGATAACATGACTCAGTTGATCATGTACGATTCAATGAAACAACTTTTCATTTTGTGTATTTACAAGGCAATGGAGAAGCAGAAGAGAAAGACACATTTCACAAATTGGATTCATCCATTGAATACGAAAAGGGTATCACTTGATTAATTACACTGTCTGTACGGGGAACTTCGACATTATTCCAATACTAGGAGGACTATAGAACTTCCACAATAAATTGGTCCAAGTCTATCCCAGATCAGCTTCACTTGCAGTTTGTGTGCCCAACTGCCTATCTCTTCCGTTCTAAGCTTGTCCGTCGACAGAGTGGCGCACCCCATCCACTTTGCACTGTTTAAACAGAACCCAGTGGAACATTCCGTCAACAGACGCTGGTGCACCAACAGAACTCGACAGACATTGTGACTGAAATTTCTGCTACGGAATTGTTGTCTATTGCTGGCTGTGTTTTGAATGTAAGCTTATGCAGAGGAAATTTCCTTCATGAAAACTTTCATAACGTTCCATCTAGTGGCACCGGCCTTAAACCTGCACATGTCTAATTTAGTTCAACCAAGGTATAAAATCCTAAAACACGGTACAAAGGAGGGCTTGAATTACTGACAAAAACATTCAGTTGATTAAAAACAACAGACAACAGGTCCTTCTGTCTTATGACTTTTTCCCATTATTATTACATAAAATCGTTAAGTATGAACGGAATTTACCTTTTTTCCCTTCGGCGGCATGCTGAGAGCGGTTGTGAATAAGGCGAAACGTTCAAATGGGCTGCTGAGAAAGCGAGAAAAGCGTCTTGAGCTTTTTGAGAGAACGAGAAAAGCAAACGAGAGTCGTTTGTGAGCCGGGTCGAGGTTCGGCAGCTGCTGCAGTGGCGCCAAGCTCATTGGCCGCCGTGCTCCTCTCTGATAAGGAAGTAGACGTAAACGCTCCCCTTTTCTGTCTTCACCAATTCCCGATGAGTGATCATCATCGTCGCCGCGATGCCGTACGCTAATGTCGGAATCCCTGAAACCACATGAATTTGTCCGAAATAAAAATTTCATCACAAAACGGGGAAATTTTTTTTCTTCTTTTTTTAACAAGGGTTCGCAACAGCAGAGGTCATATAAACCCTCGGGGTGCCGGTGTTTTTGAAAAAAAGCCCATTTGTAAGTAAGTCGGGTTGGAATGCAGGGACGCTGGATTCGAACCCGGGACCTTTACCTTACAGTGATGAGCGCCGTGTCAGCGCCTAAACCGTCGCGGCCACCGACGCCCCTTGGAAATTTTTTTAAACTGCTTGAAATACGTTTAATCGTTTTTCCCACCGACTAGGGATGTGGATAGGGATAAAAGAGGTGGCCACAAGGCTTCCACCTGAGTAGATCTATTGTGCCTCTAATTTTACAAATTACTGGCTGGCTTCGATTGTTAATGAACCTTTCCTTGCCAGCAGCTAATTGTAGGATATTGCTTGTGGCTTTTTCTCTCCTAGTTGTAAGAATCTACACCTATATAGACCCTCACAAAAACATAAAACATTCTGCGGTCTCCTCTTCTTCGTAGCAGTATCTACACAGTGTTTCTTTTGTCAGTACTTCTATCCGGTGCAGGTGCTTTCTTAGAGGACAGTGCCCTATCAGGAGTTCAACCAGAATATTGGTTCTGTTGAGGACCTTCCAGTCAATATTCACATGGACCATTTTTTTTTCTTAATGGATACCAGGGACTGGAGGAGTTCCCTCTGAGCACTGCAGCTTTAGGGATGGGGGAGGGCTCTCAACACAAATGTGAACTTGAGCCCCCGTTGTACAGGTGTTCTTCCATCGATGAAACTCATTTTTGAAGGGGGTTTGGTCCCTGAGATCCGATCCCGCCCCTTCCATTGATGAGTGGAAATTTTTTTCAATTGCGGCCACCGGTCCCCTTAGGCGTCAGAAAAAGTCCAGAGGCGACAGTGGGGATCGAACCCACGACCGCGGGATCTACTAACCGAGAATCTGACGCCTTAACCACTCGGCTACCGCGGCCCCCCACATGGACCATATACTGTCTTGCAGATCCTCCACTGAACAGTGTGTCTGCCTTTTCTTTACTACTTTGTGTCCTGGTGTCAAAGATATCATCAGGTGATTTGAGTTTCCATCATGGCCATTAATACGTTTTGGAGCCACCTGTATACCACATCATTGTATCTGATGTCCTCCTGATTCTTTTTGTCCTTTGTAATCTGTTGAGACTTTATAGGAGTTGTACACACTGTTTCCAGGATGTTCTAGTTCCATTTCTAAGAATAGGTGCCTGATTTTATTCATTATTGTTGTGTGTCCAGAGTGTTTAGTTCCCATCCAGTTTGATTGTTTCTGAAGCTAAATGAGCTTCTCCATGCTTCTCATTGTACAATATAAATATTTCCAATAGGTTTATCAGTGTTATTGAAGAGATTGTTTTCATCGCCTCTGTGATACATAGGTTTGCCAGAATTTGTATGCTCCATGTTTGAGAGCTTGTTTTTGATTACCATAGCCAATGAACCATTTTCAGTTTTAGTCCCTAAGATTTGTTTACGGTTATTCTTGTGGTCATTAGCTATATTTTTTGTTATGTTGTACTACAGGTGATGGTTTCAGGTTATCATTTTATCAAAACCATTGTGATTAGTGGTCTAATTGACCAAATTGCTTCTTTCAATTAATTATTCTTTTTATTTAAAGTCTTGATTGAGGTGAAAAAGTTCATAAAAAGGACTTCACAAAGTCATGATAGCTCAAGTGATTAGAGCAGCAACATATTGAGCCAAAGGTCGTAGGTTCTAATCTTGTGACACTAACTTTTTCATCTTAGCCAAGACCTTAGATAAAAAGATTAATTAATTGAAAATTTTTTATCAAAGATTATTCCTAGGTATTTAACCTAATTTTTTAACTGCTGCATTTCATTATAGAAGCATAGGCCTTGTATTTGTTTCTTTTCCTGGTAAATGCAATTAGAGTAGTTTTTGAGGGGTTTGCTTAAAAGGAGACTTAAAAGTCCTCATGGTGAGCACCATTGCTCTACCATGTTTAGTGCTTTTTCGGTGAGTTCTTTTAATGTTGAGGCAAATTTTCCCCTGACTTGCACCTCGGTCTTTCAAGCTAAAATACTTGTTATCAACACTTGTACCTAAGAAAATCTTAAAAAGAGGTTATACTCGCAAAAAAATCCTCATAAGTCAGATAGTCAAGCAGCAATTTAAGCATTAGGATAAAATACTCAGTGAATACATCAGAAATCTCCAAAACCTGGGGAAACACAACCTGATGATATTTGGGCACTAGGTCAACAGAAAAAAAAATTGGGTAACAAAAAGGAGATACATTGGGTAGAGGAGGATCAGTAAGAACATGTTATAAGCCGTGAAGTTATTCTTGGGTTAACAAATACAAACACAGAATATTCCATCACAGAATGGATCCAAAAAACAAAAGAAGTGGATAAACTCTAGAGGTGCTAGATGCAGTAAACTTATGCTAAAACCCTCACCAAGGCTGGCAACATTAAGAGAAGGCTAAACTCAAGAGGAAAAGTGAAAGGTCACCGTCACTACCAACTTAAGGTCTTTGCCCACTAGAATGTATCATACTAGGACCGTATCAGGCACGAAAAAAAAACGCTCCGGTCACTACTATGCCCACTGCAAGGGATGAACCGCGTTCTATACCCATATGCTTCAGGCTCTGTCGTACATTTCTTTTTTAAAAACTTGTCGTTTGTGAACTTTTGTTTTCTTGTGTGAAGTGAATTTGTTAAATAAAGTATGGCTATTAGAAAATTATCTATACAAGAATTGACCATGATTGCCATTATTTTGGACGAGGAAGAGGAAAACAAAAAAACACTAGATGTTGTAAATTGTACAAAAACTCGTAATTACGAACATATTCTATTAGTTGTTCATCCTCCATTTTTATTATGACACAAACACTCACAATATAATAGAACACAAACACAGATCTCTTCGTCAAATGCAAAGAACTTGTGTGGAACGGGACAGAATGCAGTAGGGTGGATGCGCACAATGGTCACATGTCATAAAGGGAGCGGGCTGACACCTGCAAAATATTCTCGGCAGCCGATTGTTGACTAAACGTTCATGGTATGCTACAGTGTTGGCCGGTGACGGAACGGTGTAGTGGGAATTTTCCAATACTAAATGATGTAAAGAATATTTATTTGCGTGTGTCGGTTACGGTCCTAGTATACGTTCTAGTAGGCAAAGACCTTTAGACAGAATGGATCCAAAAAACAAAAGAAGTGGATAGACTCTAGAGGTGCTAGATGCAGTAAACTTATGCTAAAACTGTCATATTCAGTGGAACATTAAGAGAGCTAAATTCAAGAGGAAAAATGAAAGGTCACTACCAACTGAGACATCTGCATAACATGGCTCAATGACGACCCCATTTATAGGTTAAACAATGACGAGGAAGAAACAGCCACCCAAATCATCTAGATAGACATAACCTGGGATAGAAAAGAACAACGAAATTGCAGCACGACAGTCAATGACCTAGCACTTATTACAAGTATTGAGTCGATTGTAATGAAATAAGGAACTAGAAGCATGCCAATAAGACAAAAGGAAAACAAAAACCGACTTCCCAATGGTTCGGATCCTTGGAATGATACTAAGCTCATTATTGCATAAACACCCTTTTCACTTATGGCAGTGTAACTTTTTTTCTTTTACTTTTTGGATTGTAGATTCTATATTATGCAATTTTATCATAATCTAATTGTATATTAAAATTATTATATTTTTGAATACTTCAATGACGTAATTTTGGAAACTGAGCTTTCGTTGATAAGGAATGGTACGTGTTTTATAAAATAAAAACAATATTTTATAACATTTTATCCTCGTTTAAGAAACTTTTTTTTTACTTATGTACGTATTTATTAATTCTATTATTTAAAAATAAATTACCTAGATTCATTAACTTGACAATTCCCATGAAGGTGTCTTCTATAGACAAATCCTGGTAGGGACGTTTGGTACAATGGTACTTGATATAAGGAAAGCAGCCCGTCCTCAATATATGATAGTTCGAAGTACCGACTTGCCAGTTGAAGTGTGACATGCCGATCTGGTCGTTGACTACCGACGAGTACTTCACGAAGTACGAAGTCCAAGACGGCTCTTTGGCCTGCCTAAGCCAGGCGGTTAACACTTCCGACGCTTTGGGCCCAAACATCTCACTTTGATTTTATAAAAACAAGCAAATTGCCAAAGAAAAATCTATTTTTAAACGTGCACTGATTGCATGGAAGAGAGGGAAAACTAGTTTTTAGTTCAACAGATTAGAAAACCATAGAAAGAAAAAACAGCGCTCTGTTGTGGAAAACATGCTAAGCAAGACAGTTGGGTTTAGTATCATACAATTTTCGGATTATTTTTATGAAGCTATAATTTTTGTATTCTTCATTAAACGATCATCACTTATTAAAATAATAAGCTTAGCATTGTGAGGAGCTTATTTAGAAAATTTAAAAAATCAGCCTGATTAGATCCTCTTCACGACCTATGTACTACAACCAGTAGTGGTCAATTGTTCATCTTAATTGTAGTCTACAGTTCCTCATTAAGCTTAAGGTGTTTTACCAGATTCCGAAGCTTTTTCAAGAACTGTTTGAATCCTCTAGGCATGGGGTTTTCCTCTCCCACGAATAGGTGTTTCAGATATAAGCTGTCACACTAACAGGGGACATTTGCCGTCTCTTCTTCTTTCACTATGAGTATACACTTATCTCTGGATTCTGCATTAGTTAGCATTCCAACATTTTCCAGTCCTAGATTTAGTAGTTCTGCGATGATTAATGGACTTTTTCATGTGCGTTTGTCCTATGCTACATTCCCATTGAACAGAGGACTTATTTTTTACCCATTTTCTGATGAAAACCATGGTTTTGGCAGTTTAGTAAACCACAAAAGGGTTCAGGACCAATAGATGTCCTCATCGAAATTGGCCCAGTTATTGGCTTCTTCATTGCCCCTCTGCCCTGTGTGACCTGGTATCCAGACATTGGTAGTTTTGTTGTTTTTCCCAACATCTGACAGGGCCATAATCCTAAATAACTCTGAACTTCACGTTTGGCTGTTTAATCTCCTTGGCTGTGTGTATTCTTCAGGCCCTAGTTTTTCCTCTTCCAGGATTAGGAATCTCAGCCTATATAGGCCTTGCACCGACAGAAGACATGTTCCACTATTTCTTCTTTTTTTTGGCAATATTTGCACAGGCTTGTTTCTGCCACTCCGAGTCTAAACATATTCCTCCAGAGTCTGCAGTATCCAGTTAGCAGTCCAACTATTATACTAGCCCTAGTACTTCCTAGATTTAATAGTTCTGCTGTTAGTTTCTGCGATGGTCCTTTGATAAATGTTTTCACATGTTTCTGTCCCGTGCTACATTCACATTGAGCGGAGGATTTATTATTAATCGATTGTTTAATGGCTCTGCGTTTTTGGTAATTTTGTAAGGCACAAAAGGGTTCAGGGCCAATAGGTGTCCTCATGAAATTTTCTTAGCCAATTTATTGGCCTCTTGGTTGCCCCTGTTGTGTCCTTGCACCCAGACAAGGGTAATTTTGTTATTTTCTCCAATATCTGACAGGGTGAATGCAGTCCCAAATGACTTTGTACTTTACAGTCAACATGGCAATTGCCTTCAGAGCTGCCTGGCTGTCCAAGTTTACGAGGCATGACCATGTGAGCTCTATTGTTAAAAAGTTCTACTCAAGCCTGCATTCTCTTCGACATTTTAGATTTTTCACTCTACAGAAAATGAGTTCTTATTAAATCCCTAATTCCTTTATTCTTTTACTGTAGCGCTATTTTTTCCTCAGATTCTCAATCGGCTTCAAATTGCTTATCATTCCTGCTATGGTTTCATTTTCGATCTTAAATCAAGAGGTCATGTTTCTTCTTGTATTAACGTCTTCAGCAATTTTACCATTCCACATTCTTTATCGAAATGCACCAATCATATCCTAAGCCTTCAACACTCCTAGAAAACATTAGCCTTAAAATTCAAAATTGCAGGGCTTCTTTGCTGGCAAGTTTTAGGTTCATGGCATCTGAGTTTTTAGAAACAGCATTTCTCTCTGCCTTTTTTCCTCATTTATTTTTCTTTCTGCTTCTTCACTGGTTTGTTTTAATTCATTGGCATCTGAGTTTTTAGAAACAACAAGAATCATCTCATTTTTCATCCCCCTTCCTTTTATTTGTTTCCTTTTATCTTCTTTTTCTTTCTGCTTCTTCGCTGGCTTGTTTTAGTTCCATGCCTTGGAGTTTTAAGAAACAACATGAATCATCTAATTTTCTTCTCTCATCCTTGTTTCCTTTTATATTCTTTTTATTTCTGCTTACTTACCAGCTCATTTTAGGTCCATGGCATCTGAGTTTTTAGAAACACCGTTATTCATCTAATTTTCTTCTCTCTTCCTTTTTCCCTCGTTTACTTTTATCTTCTTTTTCTTTCTGCTTCTTCGCTGGCTTGTTTTAGTTCCATGGCCTTGGAGTTTTAAGAAACAACATGAATCATCTAATTTTCTTCTCTTTTCCTTGTTTCCTTTTATATTCTTTTTTTTTCTGCTTACTTACCAGCTCATTTTAGGTTTTTAGGTCCGTGGCATCTGAGTTTTTAGAAACATCATGAATCACCTCCTTTTCTTCCCCTTGTTTCCATTTATTTTCTTTCTCTTTCTACTTTTCTTTCTTAATATGGTTTCATCTTTCGATTGCAAATAATGATATTTTAGAGGTTGTATTGTTGCCATTATTGTTTTGTATATTATTTTTATATGTTTTATTATTATTTTACTAAGTTTATAAAACTAAATCTATTTCTATATGCCCATGCAGGATAAAAGCCCTAGAACCATTAAATAAAATAATGAACCAATATAATCAAACCTTTTGTATTTGATTGCTAATTTTAAACTTATGTTGAGGTGAGCGGCCCCAGAAGTATTTGTTTATGGCACTACTGTAAATGTCAGCGATTCTTACAGCTTACTTTTGTTTGATTAAAAAAATATCTATATTTCATAGATTGCTTTAATATATATTGCAATTTATAATAGGGGTATAAACGACGTTTGTAAGACCGTGTTAACTGGAATAGAGCAAGATCGTGAACGACACCTTCTTTTCTTAGCATGTGCTAAAATGCTAATGCTGCGCGTGGCATTTGGTAGAGATGGTGTTTTGACTTTGAAAAACATAAAAGACTTTCTTTTATGCCACGCTTCCACATCGGATTTTGGTGTTTTTGTAATTTTAACTCCATTAAGGATGGCCTTATGGATGGTGAACCGATACAAAACACAGGTTTGCGTCTAGCCATAGGTGCAACATTTTCGACCTAACATCTAACATTGGCGCTGGCCTGTTAGATCGAACAACGTTAACTAGCCGATTCTTACAAGTCTACGTCAACATTTTTCTCGATCTAACAGGACCTAACAGAGAACACAAAGATCGTGAATACCCCTATTAATTTAAATTTAAAGAAACTGATAAAATGAACAAAAAATGGCCGTGGTAATTACTATCATTACGTCTAAAATATTTTCAATTTTGTGTTAAAGCAAAATAATCAAATTTTGCAAGTCGTTAGTAAAATAATTAGTTATTAATTAATTAATAGTATAAATATTTATCACTTTCTCTCTGATAAGGATGGTTGTATGGTGAATAATGATGATAGCAGAGACTTTTTCTCACGGGAGGTTCCTTTGTAGTTCAAATTCACAGGTTAGTCAGATAATACTTGTAAGTTAGATGCTTAGTTATAATTATAACTTAGTTTTAAATGCTAAAATATTTTTTCCGTAGTTAGAAATGGCTGGGGACAAGGGACCTCTGGACGAATCCCAGTTAAAAGGCTTAAGCAAATATTTCAACAGTGTCACCGACAGAGGGAGAGCGAATGTAAAGGAAAATTTACACAGATTTTTGTTTTTTGTATATTTAAGCATATTTTGTACTCGTCGATTCGTATTTTATGTGAGACAGATTTTTTTCTTTGAACTCTGTTAGAACGTTCAATAGGGTTTTGATCTTAACTTGCTGTGCAAAGTAATTGCAATATGAAAATGCCGATAATGTTAAACGATTGTTTTGTCCATATTTCAAATGCCCTGAATTGTTAGAGGTTGTAAACGTTTATAATTGTTCTATATTTTCCCAATAATGGTATATTTTAGACAGTGATTGTTTTGGAGCAAAATGGATTTTTAAAACACCACAGTGCACTAGTAGGTAACAGAATGTCACTGGCTCTAACGTTAAGGGCACTGTTGTCGGCTGCCCACCACCACTTTTTGGAAAAGAGTTCTTTTCTCTCAAAGTGCTCCTAACCATCCCTACGATAGCCATGTGTGAGACAAGTGTGGCCTATTCCTTGTTAGAATAATTTTTTTTCCACAGACATAGTTTGACCGAATCTTTTATATGTTTCAGTCAATTCAGTCCAGCTGCTTTTTTTTTTTAATATATATTTTTCATATTTGTTCTTAATATAAACTGGGCTGATTGGTGTCCCCAGGTTATGCAGGGTCACCGCGGTTCTTTTTGCCGTCTTTTCTGCATTTTCATTTACCAATTAAACAGTTTGTGATTAGAACTATCGTTTTCAACTATTAAAATTTTAAAGTTTAGACCTTTGGTACAAGTAGAATTATTGAAATGCTTCAGTGCGTTTAAAAAGGCTCATTGCGTTTAAAAGGATTTGGTTTTGACTTAATCTACAGTCTGTCAGGCCTAAAAACTTAATATGTATTTACCTCATTTGTCCAAAATTGGTCATATCCAATTTTGCCCTGGGGGTGCAAATATATCAAAAATTATTATTTTTTATTTATTATTGCAAGATATTATTTACATTATGAAGCCTATGCCCTGTTAATTATTTTTTGTAAAACATTGAGAAATTAACGTACAGGGTATATCAACTTGGCTAGTCCACCCGTTTAATTCAGAAACGATTAATTTGAGCAAAAATTGGTCTTATACAAAACTCAAGTTAATTTTGGCTAGGAATCATGTGGTAGTGACATAACTTTCTCATCTAGCAGGAAATTGTCACCAACTTTGTTATTTTAAATAAGAATCTTTCATTCATTATTGTTAAATTCAATTCTGAGGGCTTATTTTATGCCACTTTCACTAGAAAATTTTGATAGGATCGAACATTTCTGGGTTATGCGTGAGGGATTATGCTTTTTTCAGCAAGTTGGCCCACCCCTTTTATTTCAAAAATGATTAACTTTAGCAAAAATGGTCTTACACAAACCCCATCAACGACAAGGTTGGATCCTCATATCTATTTGCAGATGAATGCCACTATCACTACAGTATATATAAGTAATAGTGGCATGCATAACAATGGGTTGAAAATCAACATAAAAAAATTAAAAAAAAAACAAAAAAACAACGATACTAAATTTGACCCCCTATCTTTAAATATTGGAATTTTCTTGGGAAGCTTGTGTAAATGAACTCACACCAAAATTAGTGTTACTGGTGAGTTCTATGAGCTGACACATTCATAAAACTTATGTACGATTGTAGTACTTGTGTAGTTTTTTTTTGGGGGGGGGGATTTAGAACCCAATTTTTTTTGCATTGTGAGCATTGTAATAAGGCACTCTTGCCATCAGCTTTTTGTAAATAATAAAATCACATTGTCTTGTTTATGCACTTATATATAGCCATTTTCATTATATCTATTTTTAAAAAAGACCCTACTAATTTGACAATTCATTTTTTTGATATTAATGGAGATCATGGTTGAGGATAGAGCTTCAGAGATGTTGCTTGCAGGTCATTGGAATTAAGAACTAATGGAAGATCATTTATATATGTGGAAAAGAGTAAAGGTCCAAGAATGGAGCCTTGGAGTACACCAGCTGAAATTGAGAGAGGAGGGGAGTTAGAATTTGATGCTTTAACTCTCCGAGTTCTCTCAGACAGATAGTAAAAGATGAAGTTAGTAGCAGTAGACAAAAAACCAAAAATATCTTGGAAAAATCAAACAGAATCAAAATAATACACTTATTATAATCAAGCCTAGGCGAATATCTGAGATTTGGAGAAGGGCTGTCTTACAACTATGAAATTTTTGAAAGCCAGATTGAAAAAGGGCTTGGAGTCAATAAATGAGGATATTTGTTTAAATAAAATCTCGATTGGTTTAGACAGTGATGGAAGAATAATAATAGGACGGGCACATTGCCTTTCTAATTGTTGTTTGACCTTTATTAAAACTTTTTTTAAAAAATTTATTTTAACAACTATCCAAACTTATTCTAAAACCTGGCTTATAGTACGACAATAAACTATTCTGTAATGTTTTGTAATGCAAGTATTCTGAATTGTTTTGTATGATAGGGGATGTGGTCCAATGAATGTTTTGTGTTGAAATTATACCAAGCTTTCTGCATTTTTATTTCACTTTCCTCTGGGCTCTACAACGGATATATAAATTTTTTAAATAATTACTCAGTTATGTAAGCGAAAATCAACGAACATCTTATTTTGCAACTTTAGAATCTGTAAGTTGTAAAGATAAAATTATTGTTGATTTTCACTTGCACAACTGAGTACACATGTTGTAGAAGTCTTGAGGAAGGTGAAATAAACCACCGAAAGCTTGGCATAGTTTCAACACACGACATTCGTTGGACTACATCCTCGATCCGAATTATATTGTGAATAGTAGCTGATCGATCACCTTTACATTATAAGTATTCTGATTTTTTTTTTTTTCAGGTTGCCAAGGCTACTTATGCTGGCGTCGCCCTGATAGCTCTTTATTTCTGGCTCAAGCCCAAGAAAAAGCAACAGTAGAAAAATACCATGTCAGTTAAAAGAATAAATTGTATTCTTCTTGTATTTAAGAATTAAACAATAGTAACCCTTATTTATAGTAGTTTGATTGTTCAATCCCAAATTATGCCTGTACCTTTATCTAAAGAAAATAAAAATAAATCATTGTAGAATTGTTGTGAAAAAGGTTGATTTCAGTTGATTGTTGTGTTTTATAATATTCGATTGAAAAAATACGTTTTTTTTGTAATTTTGTGTTATTGGAAAAAATAAATCTGAGGAAAAAAAGGGAAAGAGTTTCTTTTCTTCCAGTCCATGGAAAATAACCGAACGGCTTTCTTATTTTAATGGAGGGCCGCGTTTCTTCATGTGCCGAGATGATGATGAGGGCGACAAATGTCGAAACGTAGATTAGAAACGCATAGACGTCGGGTCTCATTATTTCTGCGAGTTTTGATAGGACGAGTATCGAGAAAAAGTACGAAAAAAGGAAAACCTAAAAGAAAAAAGGTAAAGACTTCTTCTTTTTGTTAAATTTAAAAAAAAATCCGTCGCGAAGAAATAAATCGCCGTCGGGTTTTTTCTTCTAAAAATATAGCAAAATAGCTAAAGATCCTTGGAACGTCTAGCTCGTTCGCACGTTCAAAAATACGGAAAAAAGGACTTTTTCAAAATTAGCTAGGATAAAAAAGAGAGTTTCTTTTCTTCCAGCTTATGGAAAATAATCGAACGGCTTTCTTTTTTTAATGGAGGGCCGCGTTTCTTCATCTGCCGGGTTGATGATGAGAGCGACAAATTCCGAAACATAGATTAGAAGCGCTTAGACGTCGAGTCTCTTTATTTCGCTCCGAGTCGCGATAGGACGAGTATCAAGAAAAAGTACGAAAAAAGGAAAAGCTAAAAGAAAAAAGGTAAAGTCTTTCTTCCTTTTGATAAATTAAAAAAAAACTTCGTCGCGAAGAAATAAACCGCCGTCGGGTTTTTTTTCTTCTAAAAATATAGCAAAATAGCTCAAGATCCTTCGGGCCGTCGAGTTCGTTCGCAGGTTCAAAAATACCGAAAAAGGACGTTTTTTTCTTTTCTTTTTAGACTTGCTAGGCGTAAAGATAGGCGTTTTAAGAAGGGAAAATCGCAGAGGAAATAGGACGGCGCGATACTGCGATACGCCGATACTGGTATGGTAAATTGGGAAGTGGCCGAGTGGGTTTGTTGTCCGCCGCCATGAAGGTCCGCTGAGGCCGTCGCTGCGATTTCTGTCCCGGGAGACGGACGGCATCTGGACCGGGATCATCGACTGAACGACGAGGTAATTGATTTTAAGGTCTTTTCAACTTTTACTCGATCGTCCGGCCGACTTTTTTTTCTTATTTCCGGCCTTTTTTCGTGCCGGACGGCGAAGCCCACCGAGGTTAGGCTACTTCCCTAAGTCTATCCTATGCCCTTGTTTTGTCCCGAGTTTCTCCTGGAATATTACGCGTTTTTCTTTGTCTTCGAAAGCCGGGTTTTCTCTGTTTTATAGCCTCTCTTTCCAATTAGAGAGGCAATGCTTTGTTTCTCTTTCCAACTTTTTATTTATTAATTTTCATTAGAAATAATAAAACATCCTGTTCTTGTTTCCTTTATTCCATCTTCCATTTCAAGCAAAGCGACACTCATTTTAATTACAAACTTGTGATTTTAATTACAAGGTAAATTTTATTAAAAAGAAAGAAAATTTAAGAAAAAACCTTACATGAAAAACTCAACAGAATATATAAAAAAATATATATACAGAAAATAATTATAAATTTCTATTTAATGTGTTTTTCATAAAAGATTTTTATTTAAACACTCCATACTGTTTAAGTATTATATATATGATATTCCCTCTGCCCTTTTTTAAAATATATTTCTTTAAAAAATATAACTCCAACAAAGTGAATAAGAAAAGCACAACGATACAATTGAGTAATTAAACAGATAACCAAAACATGGCTTAAGGATTCCTTTATACGTTTTCATTTGATTTTAACTGAATGCAAGGAATCGTGAAATAAATATTTTTCATCGGAATAACGATTCAGCAATGTCATCCTCGGTAGAGGGAAGTTTGGTCCATATTCTGTTCGGCAATGTGGGACAAAGAACAATTTATGGTTCTGTAGGCTACGGTTACTATGGATGCGAATTCCGATGAAATTTTGTTCTGACGAGTACGGCCGAAATCCTTTTCCGAACAAGGTTACATTGTGCGCTTTATGATATTACGTTTCTGCCTCCTAGCAAAATGAACGAACGTGTTTTAAATCGGTTTAGTGGTTTGACCAAATTACTTCTTTTAACGAGTTATTCTTTTTGTGTAAGGTCTTGGTTGAGATGAAAAAATCAGTGTCACGAGCCGGATTCGAACCCATGACTTTCGGCTCAATAGCTGCTGCTTTAACCACTTGAGCTATTTTGACTTTGATCCATTCGGATTCCAACTCCCCTTCTCAACCTACACGCCAACAACCTTAACGAGTTTTATTTTCTTGAAAGTCTGTTGATTAACCTATCATTGATAGGTGGTGGGAAAACAGAGCATGTTAACCAGTTATTTTCCATGATAAGGGAAAGTTTCAAATGTTATGACAAGATTTGTGTTGATTTCTTCACCAACTTTCTTCTACTTTTGCCGATATTTTTTGTTGTGATATTTTTTGTCGTTCATGTCCCACAAACACCGATTCTCAAAAACGAGATTATTCAGTTTAATGCCAGAACCCACGAAATATTCCAACTGGTTTGAACGCTTGATGGTTCTGATGACATCGTGCATGTTCTCACATGCACTTCGCTGCCAAAGTAAACACTTTCATTGGAAAACAAGTATTTGTTCGGATGAACTCAGGACAAAATTTTGTCAGAATTCGCATCCATAGTAACCCCTAGGCTTATTGATCGCTGAGACACACAGTGATAAATGCTATTTTTGGATATCACCATTACATAATTTCCAACCCCATTAGGTCAGCAGAAATATGGCAGGAACTAGGCGACTCCAGACCAAGCCAGTTCAATCTTGACAAATAATTCAGATTTGCAAGACCAAATCTGAAGGTCATTATCCTGGTTGCTTTCTTATGTTCTTTTTCTGACATGGAAAGGGGACCGCAAGATCCCTGCATATTCCAGATGGCTTTGGACGAGGGATTCATATAATATTTTAACTGTCAAGTAATTTTTAAAATTTTCAGAAAACCAAGTTTGCATAGAGCCTTACCTCGAATTTAGTTGTCATGGTCACTGAAATCGCCCTTTCTATTGAAAAGTAATTCAGATCTGCAAGACTAAATCTGAAGGCTATTATTCTCTATAATTCTATTATTTTTTAAATTTTTATTTTTATTTTTTTCCCAATGTCGCTAATCTCACTGACACGGAAAGGGGACCGCAAGACACTTGCATATTCCAGATGACTCAAGGGTTTGATATAATATTTTAATTGCCAAGTCATTTTGACAATCTTCAAAAAACTTAGTAATAAAAGCAAGTTTGTGTAGAGCCTTACCTTGAATTTGCTTGTTATGGTCACTGAAATGCCCTTTCTGCTGAAAAATAATTCAAACCTGAAAGCCATTATCATGGTTGCTTTCCTTTGTTCTTTTTCTAAGTTGCTAATCTCAACGACAAGGAAAGGGGACCGCACAACACATGCATATTCCAGATGGCTATGCACGATTCGAACCCAGGACTTTGCAGTAATGAGCACCGCACCAACGCCTAAACTGTTGCGCCCACTGACACCCCCTAAAAAGATAAAGTTTAAAATGATCTTGATGTCCTAGACCAGGGCTTCCCAAACTTTTCAGCCAGCGGACCTCTTTTACCGAACAAAATCCAAGACCAACGAAAAAAGACCCTTGCATTCAAGTATTTAAAATTTGATACTTATAGTACATGTGGTAAATTAAAGTTTTATAAATTAGCATTAGCCAAGTCTATTCCTAAGTAGGTGATGGAGAGGGATATCACTATGAAAACAAACGTTAGATTGACATAACTTTATTTACAAAATCCGGAACACAAAAATCAAATTGGACAGAACGGAATCGATATATGAAACTCGAGCCAATTTCAAAAAGTGTAATTTGAGCGTTAATAGATTAATGGGAAGAGTGAGATTGTTTTAGCCTGCACGGTTTGGATATGTTCGGTTTAATTTTTGATAGAGAAGGATGTCGGGGTCAGCATCTTGATAGCTTCGGTATTTATTGATAGAAAATTCGCATAGCTAAGTTGTGGCAAATGGAAAAATTACACGTTTTGCTTTTTCAACGAGCGGTTGAAATTTTTTGTTTTCGGACAGAATAAAAAATGGGGTATGGATCAGGCTCGAAAGTAGATTTCAAACATTCATATTCCTTGAAGATAGACTGTTTTGTTTTTTCAAAATTGAAAACCTGTTTGGCCACCCATTCATGGTCTTGCAGTATTGTATCTAGAGTTGATGGGAATTAATGATCAAAGTACATCTTCCAACTTCGAAGTAGATATTTCATCAATCGACCATATGCTCCAGTTTTCTTTCTTTTACAAAGTAATTTAAAACAGGAAAACATTCAACTTCTTCCTTCTCAACAGATTCAACCCAAAACTGGATTTTTCTTTTGAATGCGTGAACTTTGCCATTAGCATCGAAAATTGTGATACTCTTCCAGTTCAAAAAAAGCTCATCTGATTCATTTTAATGAAAATATCTAATAAACTCGACAGTATACATTCCCATCTTTGAAACCGTTGGCCAATTTGAAATTGTGGTCCAATCTACAGAAATAAGACTTCAGAATGTAATTCGTGTAATTGTAAAAATGCTTAAGCGCAAGTCAGACATCCTCACTTTTGTATGGTGAAGGCTTCCCATAACGGCACATAATATTACGAAAAGTCTCGTCTTTATTGGCTGATACTTGATATAATTAATAATTTGAATAGAATCATCCAAAACTTATCTAAAAATAGCCTGGCATTTGCTTCATAACTAAAGCCTGTCTATGAAGAACACAATGACTCTGCTGCAAAATAAAAACTTTCGATTATTGTATTCATTGTTATTTTTTTAATTTTATTTATTTATTCCCTGTTTATTTTTGTGAATATTACTTTTTATAAAAGTTCCTTGTTTTAAAAAAAAACCCTAGTTAGGGTCTGCAGACCGTGGTTTGGATAGCCCCACCCTAGACTTTGGTAATCGCTGTTCTGTATATAAAGTGGAAGGTTTATGGGCCGACAAACAGCTGAGGTCATCGCCGACCCTCCGCGTGTATTCCTTCTCTTTCCTCTCTTCTCGCGTATTTTGTATTGAACCAGCCATTTGAGCATTTCGATCTGGTTACTGACTCTCTGCTTTTACTTGTATATTACGTCATTATTTTAAAAAGCTAGCCTCTTGTTAATACCTCAGGTTGTCAATTTAAGAATAGATACACAACATACAATACGTAACATATATATATCGCCACAAACATAGAAGTCTGGTCACATTCACTCCCCCAAAATACTCGATATTCCTCGGGGCGTTGTTGAACCCACTCCATTCTTGCTAACTTACTTTTACTCTCCAGACGTCACACACTCACCCCAGAGTACTTGATATTCCTCGGGGTGGGGTAAATAACCCCTTCCTTTCACGCTAATAAATTACATTTGAAAAATGGCAAAAAGGAGGGAAAACTCATAAGGTGCGGTTGAGATGGGAAGTTGATGTCTGAGTGGATCGAGGTCACGATAGCTCAAGTGGTAGAGCAGCGGCGTATCCAGCCGAAGATCGTGGGTTCAAATCCCGCTCGTGCCATTAACTTTTTTTTCATCTCAACTAAAAACCTTAATTAATTGTAATGTATTAATTGGCCAAGCGGACCACGAAATTATTGAACTAATAAATTACATTCATCCTAATATATTAACATAAACACCACCCAACACGACACAAACACTTCAGACACAACACAAGCACAGCACAAACACACATAAACTATATACATTTGAAAATCCCTATAGCCCTGAAGTACCGGTACAACGATTTGTGCCCGCTGCTGCCCCAAGACCACACACAGGTCCGATGACATTCCAAAATATTGCCTATAAACGTTGAGCCTTCTACAATTGAAAAGGTGCTCGACTGTTACTCTATCCTTGCATAATGGGCACCTATGCGGTCGCTTTCCTGCTAGAAGGTGCCCGTGCGTAATTCGTGTATGACGCTTGTATCGCTGTTCTAATTTATTAATTCAATTTCTTCTCTATGTTGATGCCATAGTGGAACAATTATAAGATGCTGGGTAGAAAATAAATTGTCTTTTCCACAAAAGGCTATTCTTGATAGGCTATTTGCCAAGTTCATAGTCGTTCAGACATCCACTTCTGAACTTATAAAAATGTAAAAAACCATCAAACCACTTTGTATAAAAAGTCACTAAGAAGTGGGGTCTATATTAGACCAAAACGGTCTGACGTAATAAATGTCTATTGTGGAAAAGATAATTTATTTCCTACTCCATCATCTTTTCATTAAATATGCTCTTTCTCCTCTGCTTTGAGAATTAGGAATAATTGTGCTTTGCGGGTTTTCCTTGTTGATGGGATGGCAAAGATTAAATTCCTTGAACTCCAATTGATGTAATTATGAATTTTATTTTATGTTGGAATTTATTATTCTTTTTTGCATGTGTTATCCTAAATTTTTAGTCGGATGTGGGGTAAAAATAAAAACAAATATGTTTTAACTATTTATTTACTTCTCATGGTAACTATGTTTAAATCAGAATTTTACATTATTTTTTAAAGTCTCAAATTTTTGTCTATCCAACTGATATTTCTATTACAGTCGGTGCACCTAAAGATGGAAATCTAGTCCTGCTAACAGTTGAGTTAAATTTAAACATGATGGGTGAGTTCACTCTTCATCTTGATGATTTGGATGATGATCTTGGTGAATTTGAAGGTCCCGGCTCAGCAAATAGCGAAAGCGACAAAGTCGACAGCATACTCATTAAAAAGATACTCTATGAAATGAAAAGTGAGTTTAATAAAGCGACAGGTAATGCTAACGAAGAGAAAACAGAGCCCAAAGAGAAGGATGACGAGGAAGAAGAAACAATACAAGACGAGAATGTGCCAGAAGTGCAAGAACGAATAAATAAAAATAATGAGGAAGAGGAAGAAAGAGATGAAGAAGTAAAAGAAAAAGGAGGAGTTGAAGAAGAAAAAGAAGATAAAGAAGATGAAACAGTAGAAAATGAAAAAGAACATGAAGAATTAGAGGAAAAAGTAGAAAAAGAAGAAGAAGAAAAAGAGGAAGACGAAGAAAAGGACGAGGAAGAAGAAAAAGATGATGAAGGAAAAGAAGAAGAGGAAGAAAAAGAAAGGAGAGTTGAGGAAGAAGGAAAAGCAGTGGAAGATTCTAATGAAAAAGATGAGAAGGAAGAAGAATTAGAAGAAAAAGTCCTTTCAATGGATCATGTTGAGGGTGTGAGCATGTTTCAGCAAGAATCGAAGGAAGAAACGGATAGTTCTCAGACTGCGACTGTAATAATAGAAGAACCTCCAAAAAAACGCAAAAGAACCAGGAGGACAAGGCAGTCCGTGGATTTAACATTAATTAGCGACGAGCCATTGGAAAAAAGAACTCGTAGGCATGTACGTTACTCGGAAAGATTTGAAGAAATGGCCGTGAAACGATCGTCACGACGCACTTCGAAAGATTTTTCCCGGGAATCTGTATTGCAGAATGCGATCGCTCGAAAAGAGAAATCGTTCAGTTCTCTTAACCCGCCTGATGACAAGCCACAACGCAGGTCGACAAGACTGCACGAAGAGCCTCACAGGCCACAGAGGAAATCGATCAAAACACGATCGCAAGGCGATAGTGAGACTTACGGAACTGACCTCAAACGAGGGTCAAGAGCGACTTCAGAAGGGAGTGACCTGGATGATAGCTCAGTTGAAGATTTCAGACACCATCGCTACTCTCAGAGGTCAATGACTGGAAGGCATAAAGAACCCAACAATTCCAACATTCTAGAAGGTAATTTAAACAAAAAAACCTGTTATGTTTTATTTATTTAATTGGTTTGTATTTTTAGAAATTATTGTATAAAAGGAATAGTTCTACTTCAGTTTTTATCGTTAAAGCATTGTTTGTTTTACAGATGATCAATACTCTATATCTGAGGATGTAGATGCCAAGCCAAAGATTCGTGAGACTGGTAAGTATTTTCATTGTAAATATCTATGATTTATTATGTGTTTTCCAATTATTGTTTTTTTAGGTAATGGCATGGTGGTTAAACATCATCCGCTTTTGGTAAGTATTGTTTTTCTTTTAGTATTTAATGAATTTATAACATATTAAGTTCTGTAAAAAAAAAATTTTCAAAATGTTTTTACATGAAGCAAAATTTGATTAAAACTTGCCGTAAGAAGGATTCAAATAGTTATTCTCAATATAAAATGCTGCAAATTTGATGAGCAGTACGATTTTTTTTTGTGAAATTTCTCTTTTCTATGCGGTGATGGACCTGTAATTTGATCATCACTGATCATTTTGGTCTGCCTATCCTTGCCAGTATACGGCTAAATGCCGAAAATCTCTGACAGGCCACCCAGCAAGGAAAGGCAGGGCAAAATGGTAGATGGGAAAAGACCAGATTATAGTACCATTTTTGTGATTATTCGAGGAGAAAAAAAAAGAAAAAGATAATCCTTTGTCTGCTAAGGATGCGTATTTTAACAATTTATGTTCAGAACCTCCTGTTTATGTTGAACAAGTCATTGTTATTGTTCTATTCTGCATTATCAGGAATGTTTGTAGTGAAATAACATTAAGATTAAAAGGGCTGAGATTGTTTAACCTTTGGAATTTCATGTATTTTGTTTTCAATATCTCTGAACGTAAAATCTTAGAAAATATTTTGTTTTTATGATTATATTTTCCGTTTATAAATGATTTCGTGTATGCTTTTAAAGGAACATTTTTTCTTTGCGAAAAAGAAAATCCTGTACAGTTCAACCAAACAGTCCAAAAACTAGATCTCCCCTCGATTTTCTTTATCTTTTTTATTTACTTCCAATTTGAAGGATTAGATAATTCATAGATAGCCAGAAAGTTTTTTTTTTTTTAATTTCTTTGCTAGAAATGGAAAACTTATCTCAAACCCTGGTTAGTTAATCTTAATACCAGCTTGACAATAAGAATATGAAATTCTTGAAAGATTTTTAAATAAAATAATTTCCAATGGAATAAAAATCAAATTTAATATTTATTATATCTTTTTCAATATATTAGCATTCAGAATGGCTGCAGAATCGTTCGGAGTTGTGTGAATGCGAGTCTCTTACAATAATGAGGCCAAGCCAAGGGAGCTTACAACTGTCAGATATGTGCCAAGCTGTGGACTCGTTCGACGATAAATTTTACATCTGTTGTAACCCGATCGCTGCCGAGACAGTGTTGCTTCGCCCGTCCAAAAGGACGCCGTACATGCAGCTCTGTCAGTTGCACATCCAGCGCCTTTTTGGCCACAACGCTTGCCCGCCCTGTGGCACGTTCTGCACCCAGGGGATCTTCAACATCTGCATCAACCACCACGTCTTTCATAACGATTGCACAGTCAGCAAGGAGGTCTTCACCTCATGCCCTCATTGTTCTACCGACAAGTTTGCACTTCATCGGCTCAGAATGGAAAACCACAAATATCCATTGTTCCTTCCTATTCAAAAACCCATCAACAGAGAGTAAATACACTTATATCTTTTTATTAATTTACAAAAAGTAAATAGTATTGACATGTGAACTGCAGAACTCTCTTTCAATCTCTTTGATTTAGGAGACTTTTCCCTTGCTCATACCTTTAAATTTAATACGTACAACAAAGTACTTCTTTATTTTAATATTATTATGAATAATAACTATAATTTGTTTTACTCCCATACAAAGTTTTATGAGGCTTATAGATTTTTAAAATTGGTACAATCATTCTTTATTCTGACATAAAATTCAGACTTAAAATACATATAAAATAAGTTCTCTTACCATTTGTAATAAGAGAAAATATTCAAATATTGACTATGGAGTTCTGCAGAAAATTTATTTCTTGGTATGCTCCTCATATGCACAAGTGGTGAATTTAATTGATTCAGCCAAAAAAAAATTTGGACTCAGAATTAAATACCAGGTAACCAGAAAAGTTTGTGTGATTTTTTTTATTTACAGTAATAATCAATATTTCTATGATTTTTACATAGGGTTAGATGTTTGCGTTATCTATTATGCAATACTATAAAAATAACGAGTCAATTCATAAAGAAAAAGTGTCTTAAATAGTTGTCAGTAAATTATAAAATGTATTTTTCCCACGGCTTCAAAACCAATAATTCATGCGTGCTTATTGAATGAATTTCAGCTCGGTACTAGGGCGGCCGAGGCAGCTCGTAAAATTTGCATTGCAATCGGTGATGAAACAATGTATATATATTATGCAGGGTGGGCGACCAAGACCCGAGGGGTTAATGCCTGGGTAGACTCATACCCCATCCCTAAAAGGTCCGGGACTTGGTCGGCTCACGTGTCCTGCATAAATCTCTTGAACTTGTTCACAAACCCCATGATTTTGGACCATTTAATCTCGGGGAGTGATTTGGTGATGTCCTCTCCTTCAAAAGTCTCGAATCTAGACCTAGCGTACGTATCGCACTCTGCGAGGTAGTGCCGTGCCGTTACTTCTTTTATTTCACAAAAATGGTAAAAGGGGTCTGGTAGAATACCCATTACGAAGAGGTGTCTTCTCATTGGGCACACTGATGAAACAATAAGTTAGCGCTCTGCCCAAAAGTGGTTTGAAAAATTTTCCTCTGGGAATGAGGAGATTGAGCATGAACTGGTAGACCTTCTCTCTTGAATAATGCTGAATTGGAAGCTTTGCTTGATTCGTGTCAAACAGTCAGGAGCTTGCCGGTGTTCAACACAATGAAACCATTCGCTCCAGCTTATATCGACCTGGTAAGACTTGGAAGCTGAGTAAATGGATTCATAAATTGTCTGACGGTAACAAGCTTCAGTGACTAATCATCACTGCTTTCACAGTAAAAAGTAGACATGTTTTTTTGACCGGCTTGTCATATATGACAACAATGGATCCTGTATCGGGAGGTCTTACCATTGACTATCACCAATGAAAAACCAAATGTTCGCCATCAAAAGGCTTTGTGTTTAGTGGAGTACAACAGGCATTGTGCACTACGAACCAGGTGGCCAGACCATCAACGCAGAAATGTATTGATTATCTCTTGTCCTAGTGCAGAATCAACGAGCTCTCGTGAATGGAAAAGGTGTAATTGTACCAAAGCGAGACCTCTTACAGACAGAACAATAAAGAAGATGATAATAAAGTTTTGCTGGAAAGTACTACCACACCCTTGGTATTTTCCAGATCTAGCCCCATCTAACTCACATTTTCTTAGCAATGGACAATCATGCACAATCGGGAGTTCGATAATCATAGATGGAAAATGAGCTGAATTTATTTTTTAAGCACTGGGCCTCAAACTTTTGTAAGAAGGGCAAAACTGGGGTAGTAATTCGATGGGAGAAGATTTTGATGATGATGGAGACTAGTTTGTTAAAAAAAAATATTTAAAAAAATTAAACTCATTAAACCTGCACAAACTTTATAGGTTACCTGGTAAATAAACAATACATAAAACTACACTTTACTTAAATATCATTGAATTGTTATTATTTATTGTTTTTATTTTATTAAGAGGGTATTTTAAATAGAAGGTATGAACCCTCGGGGAGCTTATACTTACCTCTGTAAGTATGTCGGTTTTGAATGCATGGTCGCTGGCTTCAAACCATGACCTTTACCTTTTAAGTGGGAACACTCACCTGATGCAACACTACCTGAAGCACAACCTGATGCAAATCCAATGTCCAATTTTCCATAAGATTGCCAAATTAAGCGAGATCAAAAATTAATTAGTTTTTATTAAACAAATAATTTTAAAGGTTGGGCAGAAAATTGATCAAAGCAGTGGAATGCTATTTATTGATAGAATGAATTTAACTAACAATTTATTACATGGTTAATAAGTAGAAAATTAAATATAAACAATACATGTCCACCACCGATTTTGGGGGTGAGAAACTAGTTCAAGTTTTAATATGTTTCTTAATATGTAATTTACATTATTATAAAAGAATATGGGATATAAAATGCTTGCACTTGGTTTTAAAAATATGCAGTTCTCTTGAATTAAATTCTGAATTTTAACTAAACAACACTAAAGTGAGCATTCAAAAAGTTTCAATACTCAATTAATAGTATTCAATTCAATGGTACTCAATTAACATAAAAAACCACTATTTTGTATAACCATGAAAATGATTAATTTTAATGTATAATAATTTTTGTTTAGACGAATGGCAAGGATATCACTTCAATATGGTGAAAAACTAAACAAACCAAAAAGTAGAGAAGACAAAATTTTGCATGAGGATAGTTTATTATTATCTAATGGGAGAGTTATAACTGCAGAAGGAATCCCGTTACCCGAAATAGAACAACTAAAACATTACTTAAAACAACCGATCGGTCGTAGTGATGTCAGGTAGTAATCCTTAATTTTTTTACATTTTATGGATGGTATAAAGATGATATAATTTTGTAGGTATACATATCGAAATTTGTATCAAGCTGCAAAAGCAGGGGACGTGGAGAAAATATTAATAATGATTGGTAATTCATAATTATTTTAGTTGTAATATTTTCACTGGTACTATTTCAATTTTTTATAAAGCTGAAGGTATGAACCCGAACCGGGAGCCGGGCTGTCTCGGAGCACTGCATGCCGCAGCAGGCAGCGGGTTCCTAGCTGCAGTGCACATTCTTGTACAGGCCGGTACAAACCTCGATACGCTTGATAAGGGCCAGTTCACCCCACTCATGGCCGCTACGCTAAACGGCCACAATCATATAGTCAGATATCTAGTCAAGGCTGGCGCTTCGTTAACTGTACAGGTAATATAAAAGTGGGATGTTAACTGTTCAATGTAAAATTTTAGAAAATTTAATCACCTCTTTGTCAGCAAAGACTACTCACTTGATTATATCCCAGCTAATACACAACTCATCTATTTCAACATGCTATTTTAATATAAACCAAATTAAGCGAGATCAAAAATTCATGTTTTTATTAAAAAAAAAAAAAATAAAAAAATAATAATTTTAAAGGTTTGGCAGAAAATTGATCAAAACACCGGAATACCATTTATTGATAGAATGAATTTAAGTAACAATTTATTACATGGTTTCGCTCATTAAATTTAACTAAAATTTATTACATGGTTTTGCTAATAAAATTTAACTAAAATTTATTACACTGTTTTGCTCATAAAATTTAACTAAAATTTATTACACCGTTTTGCTCACAAAATTTAACTAACAATTTATTTCACCGTTTTGCTCATAAAATTTGACTAAAATTTATTGCATGGTTTTGTTCATAAAATTTAACTGAAATTTATTACACCGTTTTGCTCATAAAATTTAACTAAAATTTATTACATGGTTTTGCTCATAAAATTTAACTAAAATTTATTACACCGTTTTGCTCATAAAATTTAACTAACAATTTATTACATGGTTGTGCTCATAAAATTTAACTAACAATTTATTACATGGTTGTGCTCATAAAATTTAACTAACAATTTATTACATGGTTTTGCTCATCAAATTACACCATTTTTGTCGAGTAGCGTCAGAAGCGGACACTCATATTTTTTGTAGTTTATTTCAAACTATGTATATGCAATTTTGTAGTTACAATAATTACAATATGCTTATTTCAATTTATACCAAAATGAAATGAGATCAAAAATTCATGAGTTTTTATTGAAATTATTTAATTATGATTATTAAGCAGAAAATTTATCAATACTTTTGAAAAATACTTATCAATACTTACAATAATTTATCAATACTAATTACTTTATTTTAAAAAAATTAAATTTAACTAACAATTTATTACATAGTTGTGCTCATAAAATTTAACTAAAAATTTATTTAATGGTTTTGCTCATAAAATTTAACTAAAACTTGTTACATGATTTTGCTTATAAAATTTAACTAACAATTTATGTCATGGATTTGTTCATAGCATTTAACTAAAAATTTATTTCATGGATTTTCTTATAAAATTACACCATTTTCGTTGAAATTGAATTAGAAGCGGACACTCATATTTTTTGTAGTTTATTTCAAACTATGTATATCTTGTATATTTTGTAGTTACAGTAATTGATAAATGAGATAAAAAATTCATGAGTGTTTATAAAAATGATTTAATTATGATAATTAAGCAGAAAATTTAACGAAACACCGGAATAACTTTATTTAAAAAAATTAAATTTAACTAACAATTTATTACATGGTTATGCTCATAAATTACACCAGAAGTGGACACTCATATTTTTTGTAGTTTATTTCAAACTATGTATATGTAATTTTGTAGTTACAGTAATTACAACATGCTTATTTTAATGTACACCAAATTAAACGGGATAAAAATTCACGAGTTTTTATAAAAATTATTTAATTATGTGTGGTGAGTAGTGACCGTTAGTCGATAATTATTCAGAAATCGTGAGATGCAGTCTGGAGTAATGAAGGTTTCAGAAAAACATTTTCTTTATCGTTCCAACGTTTTGATCTGTATTGAGGGCCTTGTGTTGTCTGCATTTCAACAAAAAAGTTCTCTGGTTGATAGCCGATGTGAGTTTCTTCTCATTGTTGGCGATGTCCTTCAGAGTGCTTTTAGCTTTGTGTCCTTATGTAGTTGAAATTTGTTCATAGAATCCCATGTTCTTCGTTCTTCTCGTGTAGAAATGTGTGGTGAGTAGTGACCGTTAGTCGATAATTATTCACAACACAAGGCCCTGAAGATCATCTTAATAAAGATCGAAACATTGGCACGATAAAGAAAATGTTTTTTTGAAACCTACATCTACTAGAAAGTAGAAATGACTGCGGGTGACACAATGGTGTATCACTTAATTTCTACAAATTGTTGATATCTAGATGGTCGATTCATCTTATCTTTGTAATTTCTAAAAATATATCATTTACTTTATTTTTAAGTACCAGAGAGCTATTTTATGTGATAGGTCGGTTCCCCCATGGCAACCGAAATGGCCGAGCAAAGGATGCAGACAACCATATTAAATGAGCATTTTCTTGTTTTCCAAGGGTGTAGACGGAATGACCGCACTACATTTTGCTGCCAAACTTGGTAACGTGGAGGCTTGCCATATCATGCTGACGCTCATCAGCACACCTGACTCTCTGGTCAACATTGTCGACGATGGACGGTGGACCGCGCTCGTCTGGGCCGCTGAGAACCGCCATTCCAAAGTCGTGAGGTATTTGTTGGAGAACCGGGCTGACCCGCACGTCCGGGATGGGGAAATGAACATCGCCCTACATTGGTCTGCGTACTCGGGAAGTATGGAGATAACCGAGGACCTTCTGAATTACGGCTCAAACATTAATCTTTCAAATGCCCATGGCGATACACCTCTGTAAGTTTGCTTTAAATTTTTTAACTTTCTCAAACATATAAACGAAATGAAAAATTGTAAATAAATGTTTTAACTTTCTAGTCATATAGCTGCAAGGCAAAGTGCAGATGAATGTGTGACACTTTTACTCGCCAGGGGTGCCAGAGTGGATATGATGAACAAGGCGGGTCTTACTGCAAAAGATTGTGTCATCAACCCAGACTCTTATTGTTTAACAATAATCGAGCTAAATCTTAAAATAAATAACATTAGGCTCAAGTTCAACAGTTTCCCTAGGATATTGTCCAAGTACGTTGAATTTTGTAATCCCTTTGACTGCCTTATGCTTATTTATCTTTGTTCATTAGCGACATCAGCCGAGGAAGAGAAAATTATCCCATTCAGTGCATTAATGCTGTCGATGATGATCCTATGCCAACCAATTACACCTACATTACTCAGAATTGTTTCACTTCGAACATTACAATCGACAGGACTATAACATCATTAGATGTAAGTTGAATATATAAAAAAATAAATAATAAAAAATAAAGAAAGTTGAATGCATTTAAATATCCGTGGTTTTTTTTTTTTTTTTTTGCGTTATGATCTATGCATATTAGCCATGGTGACAATTCTTATATGTGTGTTCAAATTGGGGGGTTATCGTGAAAAAAGGGCCAGAGGCGACGGTGGGAATCGAACCTACGACCGCGGCGTGAGAGTCTCTCATGCTAACCACTCGGCTACCGTGGTCCCCAAATATCCGTGTTGTATTACATTAAAATGTATAAATTAGATTTTAGAGGGGTCTTACTAATTTCTTGCTTGGTTCTCAAGCTGGGTTTCCACTGTGCGAAAATCACTTGTGCAACTGTTTCGCGAAACTTTTGGCACGAGGATGTTTCGGGGGAGCCGACAGCTGATGGTTTTTTTAGAGTGCATCAGTGTTTCACTTTGTTTGTTTCTCTCCAAGTAAACACACTTTTCTCGAGTTGAGAATGAATCAACAGGACTTAGTTTGACTTATCCGAATGTACCACAGCTTCCAATTGTCGGATGCTAAAGATAAAAACTCATCATAACAAGAACAAGAGAGAGGATGCTTGGAAGGAAATGAGCATCAAAATGGGACAAAAAAAAAAAAAAAAAAAAAAAAAAAAAAATGTATCGCTATGATAGCAAGGTCTGATGCAGCAGTTATACACAGCATACTTGTCTTGCACAACTGATGGCTCACCTTGTTTCGCTTTTAGGTTGCAAAATGTTTTGCCTTCATAGAAACAGTTAACCCGAGATGGAGTTTTGCGAGTAATTCTCATTAATTTTAAATATGTGAAAAACATATTGTGGTGTTTGTTCTTTGAACCTTTGAACATGATACTGGGAGTTCGATATTAGGGCCTTGTTACAAGTGGAAAAAAAAGAATTTTTTTTTACATTAGGCTGGGTGGGATCAGCCGGATACAGATTTAGCTGAGGGGTGACCTTGGCTAGGTTAGAGCCAGAGGACAAGGACATAGACAAATTTGAATTAAAAAATGACAATTGTAGTCTTTTTACTTTTCTTTTTTCTTTCGATTTCCCAGCCCTGCAGGCTCGAATGAGTAGATTTCACGTGTGCAAGGAGTGCAACGAGCTGCGGCAAGAGGGAAAAGGACCAGAATTAGGTTCAAACTTTTATTTTTACTCAAATTTATTTTCTGACCATTTAGTTTTGTTATTTTGAAACATCTATTTTCATTTTCTTTAATTAATTAATTTTTTTCATTGTTACACTTCTTATTTTTTATTTATTTTTTTATTTAACCGTGAGTGTTCACTATTACCCAGGAAAAACAGTGTGGCACCCGATTTCTATAAGAGAAAAGCCGTCAGGAAAAAATCTTCACTGAGCCCCAGCTGTCCAGAGGCCGGGCGGTTTGTTGATGGTTTGATGAGGATCCCATAACACCCTGGATGACATGAGAGTACTTTTTACAATGCTCTGCTGTCATTTCTGAAAAATTAAATTGAAGTGCATCTTTCCATATTTTAGGATTTATTTATTTATTTTTTTCAACTATGAGGTTATATGAACCCTTCGGGGTGCCGGTGTTTTTGAAAAAAAAAAATGCTTAAGTATATCAGAACTTTACCTTACAGTGATGTCACCTTGTCAGTCTTACCAATTGTGACCCCCCCATTATAGGATTTAATACAATACTTCCTGCCCCTTTAATTGCTTGTGCAGATCTGAAAATGTAGCTCGTTTCCATCCTTTTTCGTCATGTTGCCATACCCTTCAACTTTTATTGTGAAAAACTCCGTGCATTTCTTTTCAGTACAGCTTTAGTCTTTCGCCAGTATCATAGAGTCAAACTTTCTAAAAATTTTTCTTTAAGATTTCTAAAGAAATTTTTACAGTCTGGGAGGGGTAAAATTGAAATACACCGGCTGCACCGAACGGTGTTAAATAGGTGTGGAAATTTTTTATTAATAAAAATATCTAGCTAATTTCATACCTGGGGGCTGCGGTAGCCGAGTGGTTAAGGCGTCAGACTCTCGGCTAGTAGATCCCGCGGTCGTGGGTTCGATCCCCACCGTCGCCTCTGGACTTTTTCTGACGTCTAAGGGGACCGGTGGCCGCAATTGAAAAAAAGTTGACACGGCACTCATCAATGGAAGGGGCGGGATCGGATCTCAGGGACCAAACCCCCTTCAAAAATGAGTTTCTTCGATGGAAGAACACTGGTACAACGGGGGCTCAAGTTCACATTTGTGTTGTGAGCCCTCCCCCAAAATATGGAGCCAGGGATAAAGTACAGTAAGCTGACACAGCTCAGCTGCAGTGCTCAGGAGGGAACTCCTCCAGTCCCTGGTATCCAAAAAAAAAAAAAAAAAAAAAAATTCATACCTTGGAACCAAAGGTATTGGATGTTCACCAAGGTGGTTTTATCCTTCCATTTAAATGTTAGTCCTTATTTTCATTCTTTTTTATTTTGAGTACGTTTTTCTTTGCACTCCATATTATTATTTGGTGGAGGGCACTTTGTGGGGATTTTTTCTATTTACAGTCTATAGAAAATGTTCTCATCTCTTTATATTTTTGTACAACTTAAAAAGTACAAGTAGTCTTCTTGATCTATTGTTACTATTAAATAAACATGCCGTTTTTAAATTTCTGTTGTTTAAAACTAGTTCAAATTTTTACATCAAACAATTTGTGTTTAATTAGTAGTTTTATGTGATTTTAGCCGTGCAAATGCGATGACATGTGTTACACGTCAGGCTGTATGTGTGGCAAGATCAGTCGTAAGTGTTGGTACGACAACAAAGGGAAGTTGAGCAGTGACTTTAATTTTGAAGGTAAGTCTTTTTTAGTTTAATTTCGGTAATTTCCGTCCTGTAACTATTTTTATTTGCAGATCCGCCGATGCTGTTCGAATGCAGTGAGGCCTGCAACTGCAACATTATGATCTGCAAGAATCGCGTTGTCCAGAAAGGCATTAAAGTCAAGCTACAAATGGTGAAAACTAAGGATAAATCGTGGGCTGTTATAACTTTATGTCCAATCCCAAAAGGTTCATACGTCTGCGAGTGAGTTATAATTAAAATATTAATTAGTTCACAAACTATAATTTTATTAATAAAAAATGTAAACATTTATTAATAAGGCCAATAGGCACACCTTAATTATTCATTTTTGTGAAACTTCTGTAAAATCACATTGAAACTTATGGAAACTAGAACAGTACCTTAACAAAATGGCATATTGTCTTGCTTTAATAATGCCCAAAATGTTAATTAGACTCAGAGACAGGAGGATTAATTTTTTAGCTTATATGGTCAGCTCCCTGGCCTTGAATTCATGATGGTGCTTGAGGTTGGTGGCGAGAACGCACGGTGCTGATTGGCCAAAACTGACGCTCTGGCTCCTTTCCATCACTGAAACTCACAGCTGTGTGTTTGAAGTTTCTAGATTGAATCAGCTTGTAAAAAAACTAGAAATTTAATTTAGGACACCTCAGCCTGTGCAAAAGCAAGATGAAAATATAAATTATGCATTCGTTGGAATGAGGAGGCTATGGGCCACACACAAGTAACCAAATAGAAATTATAAATGGTGGGGTGAGTGTGGAGTTCAATCCTTTTTAAAAAAGATGGTTCCTACTCACATTAAGTTGTTTCGCAACAATCCGGATTTCGAGCCCTTTAGCTCATCGTCAGGTTGAAGGGTTTCCACAAACACGTCTCTCAACATGAATTGCAGTAGTGAACCCTGCTATCGCGACGTTCCAATGAGGAGCTGCGTTTTTAATGGCGTTCAATTTAAACGTGCGAAAAGCGGGAATTATAACACAAATAACAATTGTAATAGTAAATACTGTAAGAAATTAATTGTAAATTAGTGATTAAAGATTAAAAAAACAAAAACAAAATAAAAATAAAAAATAGAATAATACCTTAATATTATTAAATTATTATAAAACATAATAACAATTAGAATAATTAGTTTAATTATTTGGACGTTTAATATTATTTATATACATATTTAAAATAGATCAAAATCTGTTACGTTATTACTGCATTTATCACCATGTTCAATTTTACATTTTTTAATTTCAAATTTTTCAAACCAATCTAGTTCTCTCCCTTTGTTGAAACTATGTAACACTGTTTTATTTAAATTTGAATTGAAATTATGTTTTGTTTCTTTTAGATGGTCCTTGAATTCCGAAAATTTGTTCGATTTAGGCAAACGTTCTTTTACTCTCGTTTTTATTTCTCTACCGCTTTGACCTATATATTTAATATTACAGTCATTACAATTGAGTTGGTAAACCCCGCTTTTCAAGTTGTCTACCTTGTCTTTAGGTTTTGAAAGGATGTTTTTTAGTGACCCCGAACTTCTAAAAGCTATTCTAAAACCTTCTTGTTTAAAACCTTTTAAACTGTGCGAAAAAATCACTTACACTACTAAATGCGAGAATTACTTGTGAAACGCCGTCTCGTTTTAGCCATTTTCACGAGGTGAATCATCGAGAAAGACAAGTGTGCTGGTTATAACTCACAAACTGAATTGAGACTGATCCCTTATTCTAAAGCAGCTGGCAAGTCATGTAAAAATAATGAGAACAAAAGTGGACTCAGCACACAGCCATGCCTTAAGCCAGAAACACACTTACCCGATGCTACGCCATGCGACGCTACCCGATGCTACCCTACGCAAATCCAAACTCTGATTTTCCATAAGGTTGCATTACCCCTGTGCACATCTACTCGATGCTATGCGACGCTACCCTACTCTACGCTATGCTATCCCCACTGTCCAGATTTTCGTCGGGTCGCATCGAGTACTGTCGAAGACAAAAGAACCGGACACTCATATTTTTATTCAAACTACATGTATTATTGTCGTTATATTAAGTACAACATACTTATTTTAATATAAACCAAATTAACTGTGATTAAAAATTAATTAGTTTTTATTTAAAAAATTAATTTTAATGGTTTGGTAGGAAATTAAAACACCGGAATACAATTTTTTGATATAATGAATTTAACTAACAATTTATTGTACTCGCTTCGGCAGTACATATACTAAAATTGGAACAATTTATTACACTGCTTTGCTCATAAAATTTAATTAACAATTTATTTCATAGTTTTGCTCATAAAATGTAACTAACAATTTATTACGTGGTTTTGCTCATAAAATTACACCATTTTGTAATCACCAGGTAGTATCAGAACAGGACACTCATATTTTTTGTAGTTTATTTCAAACTAAGTACATGTAATTTTGTCGTTATATTAATTACATTTTATTTTAATGTAAACCAAATTAAACGAGATCAAAAATGCATAAGTTTTTATAAACATTGTTTATTATGATGGTTAGGAGTAACTTTATTTAAAACAATTAAGTTTAACAAACAATTTATTAGATGGTTGTGCTCATAAAATTTAACTAACATTTTTTTACATGGCTGTACAAGGTTTTGCTCAAAATAGTGCATTAAGAACAAAAGAGGGATTGTGATTGTGATTATTGTGACAAACGTTGTGGACTGTACATGACATGTACTTGCGTCAGATAGATGTGCACACCCCACCAAAATGTGGCAAGGCGTCGGGTAGCATTGGGTAGCGTCGCATGGCGTAGCATTGGGTAGTGTGTTTCTGGCTTTACTCCTAAGTTCACAAGAAACCTGTTCAAAATACCGAAAAAAATAAAATGGACTTGTTTACATACTAACTAAAAATACTAAAATGAAGTAAAAGATGAAACACATACATTTAGTATTAAACTAAAATTAAGGTGGAAATTAACACATGAAATCCTTCCGATATCTCCAAGCACCAGGGTATGAGTATCTAATTCGTTCACTATTTGAAGGAATTTTTTATCCTTCCAACACAACAACACCAAAACATGAAAAGCGTATCTCACTCAATAATCTGTTACATTTAGTGGTCTGAATGACCAAATTATTTGTTTCTATTGATTAATCTTTTTATGTAAGGTTTTGGTTGAAATGAAAAAGCCAGTGTTACAAGCGGGATTCGAACCCACGACCTTCGGCTAAATACGCCACTGGTCTAACCACTTGAGCTACCGTGACTTCGATCCACTCGGACACCAACTCCCCACCCCAACCTACAACCTTTCGAATTTTCTCTCCTTTTTGTGGCTAAATACACCACTGCTCTAACCACTTATCAAGTGCCCTTGATCACCTTCGGGGTGCTGGTGTTTTTGAAAAATGCCCATTTGAAAGTATGTCGGGTTCGAATCCAGCTTCCTTGCATTCGAACCCAGGATCTTTATATCTTACAGTGATGAGCGCTGAGTCAGTGCCTAAACCGTTGTGGCCACCGACGCCCCTTTCTCCATTTTTAAAAATATAATACAGTACGCTGTTTATTCTTATTCGTCGTTAAATATGTGCCCATAGAACAATGGGGGTAACATCATTATATATTGTTTGTTAACCAGACCCATTGACATTGTTTTTACGAAATTCACTAATTTCGTGGTCCGCTTGACCAATTAATATATTAAGATTAATTAAGGTTTTTAGTTGAGATAAAAAAGTCAATGGCACGAGCGGGATTCGAACCCACGATCTTCGGCTTGATACGCCGCTGCTCTACCACTTGANATACAAATGAGTAATCCTGTAAACGTAAACAGAATATTTTATATAGATTTTTTTTAATGAAAACTTAAAATCCTGCATTATTTTCCGGACAACCCAATAAAAACCTTAATTAATCGTAATTGTTTTTATGCCTTATATGTTTTATTTTTCATATCACAGCAAATCTAAGCAAAATTGTCATTGCTTATTAGTTTAAATAAATTCCATGTATCATACAGTGTCTGTTTTATGTTAAAATAAAATTTGACATGCATGTCTTCTTTTCATTTCAATCCAATATGTTAAAAGCAATTAGCTAATAAACGTTTTATGTTAAATCAACGGCGGCCTTGACACTGCCCTGCCTAATTGTTTGTTTAAATGATTATTTTCATGTTTACAGTATCAGGAGAATTTTTAAATATCTCTTCTATATTTCTATAATTTGATGTCTGAATTTTGTGAAATTGTTTGTTTATAATAGGTATGTAGGGGAAATAATTTCCGATTGTGAAGCAGATACGAGAGAGGACGATTCTTATCTGTTTGATCTCGATAACAGGGTAATTTGTATAAAAACAAATATGGGCTGAACAAGGGTTGTAATGTTTTTAATAATTCCAGGATGGTGGCGAATCTTACTGCTTAGATGCCAGGAAATACGGTAACATAACACGATTTATAAACCACAGTTGCCTACCAAACTTATCCCCTGTGAGGGTCTTCATTGGCCACAGGGACCTCCACTTCCCTCGAATCGCCATGTTTGCCGCTCGGGACATCGAACCCTACGAGGAATTAGGGTAGGTGCGCATTTTGTAATCGGTGCGATGTTTGTTCAAATAAACGTTGTTTCAGATATGATTACGGTGAGAAATTCTGGGTCATTAAAGGCAAATCGTTCACGTGCAAGTGTAAAGAAGAGATGTGCAAATACTCCGAGGACACGATTCATGAGACGCTCGAGCGGTACAATGAGCGCATGGAAATGGAAGAGTCACTTACTTGAAATTTACGTCTTTCAGCATCTAATTTTCCAAATCGACTCAATCACTAGGCAAATGTTGTCATCAATTAAAACAGGAAGGTTTTTAATTTTTTTATTTGTTAACACTTTCTGTTGTACCTGTTTTGTTGTATATAAAATTTTATTTTATTTTTGAAAACCAAAAATAATTCTTAAATTGTGAATGGTTCTTATTCTTTGCTTATAAATGCAGTTTTCATGAATTGTTACAATTTAATATATGCGTGATTTAGAAAAAGGTCCATTAATCACCAAATTTGTTGCTCATGATCTCTTTATTTTGCGACCTATCTGTTCAATTTGTTGATCAGAAAATTTATTGCGGAATCGTTTTCTGGACATTCTGTTCTAAGACTTATGTTGAATTCCAGAAGCGTGTTCATTTTGTTACCTTTTTTTAGTTTGTAACATGAACTATTATTGTTTGTAACTGATAAATTCATGGAATATTCTATTGTACTAGTTATTTAATTTTATATAATTTTAGACAGTGTGTAAAAAGGTTGTTCCTTGGAATAAATTATTAGTCATTTTTAAATTTTTTTAAATCAACTTCCTATTCTATATGAACTTTAAAAAGTTGTATGGACATTTTGGAATATTACAATCCTGTTTAAACACTTAAGATCAACTGAAAAGATTTTCTATTAAAATTTTCTTTCAATTACCATATAAAATATTTAAAAAGCAATTCAAAACTGAGTACATATTTTCATGATGACTTAAAACTTGTCACATTTTCAATTGTAATCTTGACCTCATATTAACTGGAAAAGTAAAAGTGTTAAGAGATCAAGAGGGCATTTTAAAAATTGCTTAATGACCTAATGTCCCCCTTTAGCTAATTGCCTTAATGATTTGGCCACCCTTGTTCTCTTAATTATTGCAAGGATATGTTTGATTTACTATGGAAAAAGACAGATTATTATTTAAATTGTATAAACTTGCGGCCAGTCTTAATCATTTGAAAAGACGTTCAAGGACTTTGATTTAAGAAGATAATAACGATTGTTTCTAATTATTTTAATTGCCTTCTCTCTAATCCCACAATATATTCTAATCAACCAATTAAAAAAGTCTATTCTGTTTTTCTTCTTGGGAATAAATAAAAAGACTCATCCGATTCAACCAAATCTTCAAGGTGTTGAAAAACACTCGAGTAAAAATAATAATTCCATTTGAGGGCATCAGTGGCTGAAACAGTTGAGGTGTTGACACAGCGCTCTACTGTAAGGTATATTATTATTATTATTTTTTTTTTTAGACCTGCGCCTTTATTGATTTATCGTCATTTGCGGCTTGAACCAAATGCAATTTTACATAAAACGATTGCTACTACGACACAACTGCCCAATGAACCAGGGGGCATATGTATTAAGTTACGACCACAGGAAGCATCATCCCCATACCTTAAATTATAGAAAGATGCACTGTAATTCAATTTCTGACACTGTAAAGCAGTCTCCTGACAGGATGTTTGGGTTCTTTCTCGGACCATTGGCAATCTCTTGGTGCCTGAGGCTCAATGATTTTCCCGGGTTGGCTTCTCTCTTCGAAAAATCAAATCACAGTTTTTCCTGGGAAACTGAACCCTTGGAGTAATAAAAAAAATGCAACAATAAAAATAAAATTAAACTATTGGAAAAAAATTGAATAAATAAAAAACTTGGTCCAGGTCCTTTCCCCTTTTGTCATGGCTCATTCTTCCCCTCGCACACCCAAACTACTTAGTACTTACTCAAGCCTCTGGGACTGGGAAGTCAGAGTACAAAAAGAAAGCCCCGCCCCCCCCCCCAAAAAAAAAAAACAAAAAAAAAACAATCAAATCCTTTTTAAACGCTTAAACTTGTCCATGCCAGTTTGAGCTCAAGCCTATCCTCTCCTTGATTTAGCATGGATTTTTCAAATGAGATTAGGCTTGAAAAATTTTTTTTCCTCCCTTTTGATTGATCGGCCAACAAGAAATTAATAGAAATGTTTTTGAGTTGGGGTGAGTACGTCCAACTTTATGGGAAAGATAGTCCTACTCACAGAAGTATGGTAATAAATACTATAATAAAAATAATTTTCAATTAAGAATTAATTTGTATGTAAAATATTATTTAAATAAAAGTCTAAAATTTGGTGTAAATCAAAATCTGTTATATTGTTATTATTAAAAAAAAATCAAGAACTAAGGTCGTTTTTGTTAACATTATTTTATATTTATTTTGTATTGCCAGTTTTTTTTTTCAGATTAATTCTTTCAGGTATTAAGTAGTATTAAATAGTAAACGGGAATGATCTATTTAAAGTAGTAATATCTGTTATACAGGAGGTTAACATCCAACTACTCAGGTGTCACAGACAAGTGATCAAACCTATTTACAATATTTTTTCGTATTGTGATTGATTAATTAAAAAGCCATGATTTTCAAACCTAAAAAATTTCTAGCTTGGCAAATACGAATTGGACACCTTCGCCGATTCCCACAATCTTTCTAGGAATCTAAGTTCCCAATGCTGCTTCATGATTACATCAACAAAATAAGAGCCCTTGTTTCACATAAATATGATTACATTTTAATGGAGACTAGGGATTTGTTCCATTTAGGGAATAGTATAAGATAGAAAAAAATCAACAACATATTTTTACTAAATTTATTTCTTACTTTCTCTTTCTACATATAAACATATACATACATAATATATTTACATGTCTTATCTTAAAGACATTTGAATCAATATTTTTTTGAAATCACTTAATGAAAATGAGTAGATTGAGGTTTGAAAAATTGGCTGTTGATACTGACCAGTGAATTTTTTTTTTGCCAAATAAACTTGGTTTGTCACAGACAAGACCTGACCAACCCTAACCAACAAAATCTATTTGGAAGACATTTTAGTTTAAGTAAAGAAAAATCTCTTCAAAATAGGTTGAATCAGGTTTTAACTCAGCCAATAACCCCAGAAAAAGTTTACAAACATTCTAAGAAAAAGTTTTTCTCAATGAAATCCAAATAGAGGTGGCATTGAATTTAATTAGATCAAAGTGGAGCAAAATTTGAAACCCTTACTCCCCCCCCAAAAAAAAAAATTAATTATAGATTTAAATTCACTAATTTCGTGGTCTGCTTGACCAATTAATATATTACAATTAATTAAGGTTTTTAGTTGAGATAAAAAAGTCAATGGCACGAGCGGGATTCGAACCCACGAGCATATCGCGATGGGAAGTTGGTGTCCGAGTGGATCGAGGTCACGATAGCTCAAGTGGTAGAGCGGCGGCGTATCAAGCCAAAGATCGTGGGTTCGAATCCCGCTCGTGCCATTGACTTTTTTATCTCAATTAAAAACCTTAATTAATTGTAATTAATTATAGATTTATTTATGATTACACCCAAACCCATAGGGTCCGTTATTGTACCAAGCAGGTTCCATCTATTTCGTAGATGATGCAGCAGTCTTATGCAAATATGGAGTCATCCGATGATAACAAAAACACCCAGGACTACATTTGCTACCTGTAAACCTGGTGCAAGAAGAAAACAAGCAATTTTTACATTCACCCTGTGCCGAAAAATTATTATATCGCCACTTTAGAAAAGGTAAGGTACCTTGGAGTATTACTCGACAAGAAACTGGGATGATGTGACCTTATCCACCAATTGGTTGTCCAAATTCGAAATCAAATGGACTAATTGCATTCTTCTGGAAAATGATCCTATCCTCTCTCCTTATAAAATGACTTTTTCATTTGACACTAAGTCAACCGATCACAATGTACTGCAGAATATGGGGTTCTGCTGCGGACTCTCATTCTAAGTTGATGAGGGAATTCAGCTTTTTCAATGGTAATTAACTATCAAATTTAATAAGCTATAATTGTTTCAATGAAAATAATTGATTAGAAACATATGAAATAAAATTAATTTTAACTTTAGGAACTTGATAAGACCATTTAGTTCTACGGGAGAAGTTTTTTTTATGGAAGTTTCTCCTGAATTTCAATAAAAAATTTCGATTTACAGAAAAATATTGAGTGTTAAAGTGAGTTTATATTTTCGAAGATCGTGGCTAAAAAGTTTAGCAAGTGGCTTTTTCTGTTCGATTTTAAAATATATTTTAGCGTTTATTCTCGCCTTGAATGTTTTTTATTAATTCGAGGTATGGCCAGGAGTGTAGAGTTGGCAGGAGCCATTTATAATTACCACAGGTTTCATTAATTATCCGAAAATCTTAAAATAATAAAGGCAGGTGATGCGAGATAAAGAAGAGGATTTCCTCCAGGTTTAGATGTCAAAGAAGGAAAAACCGACCGAATCTATTGTCTTTCTCGATTTTTTCGGTAAAGCTGTCGAGAGTTTGACAGATTGGTGTTGTTTATCCGGGGGATTTTTATATATTTTTTAATCGCGGCATCATCCTCCTAAAAAAAATTTGGTCACTATCCATGACACACCAACCGTGGCCTCAACTTGTCAACTGAACTAAAGCCAGGTCGGCTCTTGACGCTTGTTTTATAAATAAATCCATTCATACGTGTGTGTTTCGTTTCCAGTTTATTATTTTTAGCATTTTAAGGCCGTTGATTCATCGTTGTCGACGTTAATAGAATGAAAAATATAAGCTAATATTAAAAGGTTAAAATCTTTACAATGATCATTTGTCTACAAGCCCAGGCGATCGTATTAATTCAGCAGTCAGTTGTTAATGTAATGAGTCCTTGGGATTGAAAAAATGTGTATCATCAACAAGAAGTAATTAGTGATATTAGTAATGGAAAGTCATAAACCGATGACCGTTGGGCAAACAACTATCATACTTTTATGAATACCCTGAGTGGGGCCGGGGTTATGGGTTGAGCCGATGGTCGAAGTTCGGATTAATGCCGTTGAGCCAGATGTTGATGCAGCGGGAGTCGGTAGCGAGCGAACGGACTTGTGCAGCAGGCAGCCACATCAATTAGTGACATTAGTAATGCAAAGCCATAAACCGATCACCGTTGGACAAACAACTATCGTACTTTTATGAATACCCTGAGACAGGCCGGGGTTATGGGTTGAGCCGATGGTCGAAGTTCGGATTAATGCCGATGAGCCAGATGTTGATGCAGCGGGAGTTAGCGAGCGTCGGTAGCGAGCGAAGGGACGTGCAGCAGGCAGCCACATCAATTAGTGGCATTAGTAATGCAAAGTCATAAACCGATGACCGTTGGACAAACAACTATCGTACTTTTATGAAAACCTGGGAGGGGCCGGGGTTATGGGTTGAGCCGATGGTCGAAGTTCGGATTAATGCCGATGAGCCAGATGTTGATGCAGCAGGAGTCGGTACCGAGCGAAGGGACGTGCAGCAGGCAGCCACGTCGGCTGTTGAGTGCGAGAGATGATGCTGCGAGTACCCTTGTTGATGTAGCTAGAACTTACGGCTTGCTCCGCTGGTTGAGAGTACTAGCTGAGACATCATCGATGAATCTGAAATAAGCAGGATGAGACCCTGCTTACGTACAGACTACAGAGCTGCTTCAAGCTCAATAGTTGCAGCGTGGTAGGCAAG